TGCATAAGAGACAGTGTCGAGTCCTGCATCCATTGCATTATAAATGATCGGAAAATGAGTTTCTTTGGAGTTATATTAGCATTTCGAAAATAGAGGAATTTTCGTTTTCATAGAAATAGAATAGGGCTTCAGTGTCGTGTAAATTCGTCGTGACTTTATACTTTTCTCAATTCAGAAACTGGCCGTAAGAGTCGAAACCGCTATTTTGATACTTTTCACGCTTTTATGTAGCTACGCCAGCGCTATATTTCCAGTTTGACGGTTGAATATGTATAAGGTATTTAGTAATTTAAATAAATACCAATTTTCTTTTTCCAAATTTTAATTTCTACCATAATGTTATAAATCATACTCAAACGAAAACAATTGGGAAAAGCATACCTTAACGAACTTAGTTAACTAAATTCATCCAACATAAAGTTACTTAAAATAGGGTATTTGACACTTTTCTGATAAATATTATAAATGTTTGTCTGAAAAACACATTGCCAATATATTTACTAGGATTTAACTGTTAAAGTTTAAATAGCCAAATCGCGCAAACTAATAATAATTAAATAGCCAAAAAAAGATGTCACATGCCGGTAAATATGTCGAGGCGTTATAACCTATTTATTTACGAAGTAAGCAAATAGTGTTACAGAAGAGAAATTGAAGTTAAATTTTATGTTTTGTATTTGTATCTATACATGTTTTGTTTATAAAAACGAGCTACAAATGCGTATCTAGAGATAACACTGTCACATGCCAGTAAACAGAACCTGTTATTGCTTGCGACGACAACCAATTACAGGGCGTAATTAGATTATTATCTTACACCACAACGCGCAAATTACTTTTAAAAGTGTCAAAAACCCTATCAGACAACAAATAAGAAACTAAGTAACTATTAGTCTAGTAGAAATATAAACACCTTTGTATAAATAATTTGTATTTGTACAAATCTACTTTTAACAACAAAAAAAATACAAAGTATTAAAAAATATATGAAAACAATATTTATTTATGAAAATAACAATCGAGTACAAACAACAATTCTTAGTGAATAATTACGACTGCCAAATATAACATAGTTATGGTAAAGTTTTAATAACACAATACCTGAGCAATTTTTTCGACATTCTCAGTTCAAACAACTTTTGGACTTAAACTATAATCCCCTTTTTAATCTACCGTAGCAAAACATGATTATAAAGGAACACTCTCTGGTGAAAGTTATTATAAATTGACAGAAAAAACTGACAGAATCTTCGGTCTCTGGAATCCAGTGAAGCTAGTGAAAAACTGACCATCATCATACATTGCCCAAAATCTTTAGATTTACCAGAAAATGAGATAGAAACAATTTCAACTTGAAATCATACGAAAGTAAGTCCTATTTTTAACGATAAAACTAGTGGGAAATCTCTCCTTCAGATCTAATTTATATCTTGACTTTCAAAGATATTGAAAAATAATAATTACTTATCTAGTAGGAATAGGTAGCGAGAATGATTCGTGACAGATACTGAACCATAATTTGAATAGTTTGAAAATAAACTTTAACATATATAATTTTATAGGCAAAGTTTTAGCAGAAGATATTGCGACAAGGATCTTTTCACATGCGGCGAAATTTGGAACCGAGGACTTCGAAGTCAAGATGACTTTCGTAAAGTGTCCATTAATCGAGGCATTTTATCGCCCACAACACGACTGCCGCTAAATCATTGTGATTTCGACCCCATCGACATTAATCTCTGCATCCATGAATCAAAAAGTCACAGCATATACTGAAAAGGAATTGTAACAAATTCGGACGGGTATTCGGATGTATGACAAATTTCTTAGATGAAAAATATTATGTAAATGATATTGGCTGGAGATTTTAACCTTATGCAATCTTCAGTCCACGTTTTAGAAATCCAAACTATGTAATATAAGACCACGTGTAGAATATAAAAACTAAATTCCACCAACCCACGCCCACCCGCAAGTGTCTTCCAAGTGGCAAAAGATGCTTGTAGTACTCTGTAGATAGATTTTTTTTACTCTCTTAATACCCTACTTGTGTGATGATAAACTAGCACATTATCTGCCGTTCCTCGTCACAGGACATGTCGCGGTCACCACTGCTCCTGATGATAAATAAGATAAATAACACATCTATACATTACTTACGTTCAACAAATTCACATAACGTTCAATTAACTTATTCCATATCCTCGTTCATCCTGTTAAAGACCATAGAACTAGTTCCCTGTGTGACTTTCCCCCCTTGTGCAAGATGACAGGCGCCACAATGCCTCCTGCTAATTTATATCTCACAATTTACTTTCATTAGTAAATCGGTCACCTGGCTAAAACAATGTAACGGGTTCGAGTCCCGTCACAAGCATTTATTGTGTTACGTACGTGTGAGGCGGCACGTGCACGTCCCCGCCCACTCATCTTATATACGAGTACATTAATGGCTTATTTATTTCTATTACAAATTAATAATCTTAAAAGATAATCGTTTAAGGCTGCTCGCCTTATTAGACGCAAATATTACTTTGAATAAACGTTAACGGCATATTTAACTATTGAGAAATGTCAAACAAAACAGTCGAATGCCACCTGCAATCTATCGACGGGCTTAGTTGAGTTTTTATTGTTTCTTGATCGTTCAAATCATCAATTCGTTCCGAAAGCGACAGGAACTTCAACTTTAAAAGTTAAGTGATTCCGTACATTGCTTTAAAAATTATCGCAATAGATATTGAAATCTGATAATTGACCCACAGGATAAAAAAGAAGTACACCATAAAGTAACGTTATAGATAAAGGCTCCCTTGCCTAGTTACCGTATGCGACGTCGTTTGGCTTGCGGACCGGTCGCCCTGCGTCGCCGCCGCAGGCGCATGCGCCATCTATATACGGAAACACTATATTTACTTATAGGTATATTTAAAAAAGCTTGTCGTACGTACAAATTGAGAATAACAAGCAACAACAATGACTGAATATAATATTAATGTAGCCAAACTGTCAAATCAAATGTAATGTAAACGCCTGCATATAGCTCTACATAGAAGCATTATTTAAAATATAGCTAATTATAATTCATATTAGATGGACTATGTTTTTACTTACCTATTTCGTGATTACTTCTCTACCTTATCTAATCTGAAGTTGATATCTATTTTATGTACGGTCTAAGATACCTGGTCAACTATTTTACAGACATACGTAGATATATAGAAATTAAAGTACTCGTACCTACATATATTTTAATTTAATAAAATACGAAGGAACTTTTCAATGTTAGTATGGCAGAAATAACGCACAAAAGATACAATAGTTATTTAAAAAAACCCCTCTACGACATATTTATTTCAGTATATAAAAATAAAGGGATAATGTCAATTTTTCAACCAAAAAGTGGCTATATTTATGAAAAAAAAGAATACTCTTAGCTTAAATTATTGATGTTGTTGTTGTCGATGAGCTACATAAAAACACGAATTATTTTTTGTTGGCAATAGAGGACCCACTACAAACGGTGTAATGGTTTATAGAAGGTTGCATCTTATTTATCGAAAACCAAAACTAAAACGAATCTTCGGGAAAATACATACGGAACGAAATAACAGGAATAAAATCAGTATTCTGTAACTTTATCGAAATGTGCGGGATTTTAATTTTAAAACATATATGTCTGAATTCTACTACTACTATAACTACAAAATAAATTATCAATAATCTTTGGTTATTAAATAAATAAATAGGTTGAATAAAATACCAGATTTATAAAATATCAAATCAATTTATTATAAAAATATATTATTTCTAATTAACTACAAATACCTATGACTAAATCAATTCAACATTGTATTATTAAATCAACAGGACCAACACCAACATATGATTGACAATAGATATATACACGACGGACTGTTAGCGCACGTACCTTACTAGTATATGTATATAGATAAACACAAATATTAACATTTGCAAAGTATATAATATGAACAAAGGCCGTCACCTATCTCCAAATAATATTGTCAATCAATTGATGCGTCAGTCAGCGTTTTATCACCGAAACAACCAAACACATCGGCCACATGTGCCGTCAGTGACGCGGCAACAACACGTGTTAAATATATAATACCTAGTATAAAACTAACTACGATCTAACCAATATTTTTAAGTATAATTCATAAATAATTAAATGGAAATTATAATTATGTCATCAAACATAATTATTCATGTACGATTTTATTTACCTTTATATCATTTTTGGATAATAATATAAAACGAATGTTTTGTGCATTTCGAATTTATTTCTGCACGACACAATTCAATTATTCCGTGGTCCAGTTTCTCAAATAATAATACAACTATTAATTTCACATCCAAAAAACATGTCCATTCATAATATCACCTATTATTACCTGTCTTTATATACCATATTAGTAATAATAACCCCATACATATAATCATTAATAATAAAATATACCATCATATTATATGTACATAAATAATATTAATACATATTCGAATACACTGAACAAACACAAATTGCATGTTCAATAGAGTAATAGTTAAAACTGAACGAGATAACGACGCGTATTTAAAACTGTCTCAATACAAAATAAACAGATTACACAACACAATAAATCATTAGTCTGTAGCGTTACCTTCAAATCGCAAGACATTCTCTTTCACATACATACTCGTAGTTCTTAATTTTATGTATATTTTTACCAACTAAATACACTACACTACCTCGTATGACCCACCCACAAATACCACTTAAAAAAAAAGTGTGAATATTCTTTGAAAATAAAAAGAAAAGAATAACAGTTTTAAAATAATCGATATAGATATGCAGTATGATTTCCAGAAAAACGAGTTTCGATAATGATATATAATAATACATTACATTTATATGACATTTGACAAACATATTCGCCGTGCAGTATTCGTGTGTGGGCGGTGACGTATAACTAATAGAGGGGGGGAGGGGGTCGCGGCGCTCACCCGGCCTGCTCCTGGTCAGACTCTGGATTCTCTTCGCCTTCCTCTTCTTCGTTTTGTCCTGGAAATGGAAATTTAAAAGTATCAAAGTAAAGCAATTATTATATTTGATCGATTTTGCATTTGGAATACTATGTTAATATTTATCTTAAAAAAAATTATCCTATGAATGAAGATAAAGTAGTGTATGAAACTGCATATAACTCAGGTATTAAAATACTCGAGTCAACCTGTTCGGGTTATACCGAAATGATTTGGTAAATGATAATATTTGATTGAATAGAAACTGTATATTTGGAAACAACTATTAACACTAACTAACACGTATGAATGTATGATTGAATGTATGAGTACGCGTAGCGCTCTTGGTGGCTGATTACGAACTGAATTTATGATATTTAAGTAATTATAATGACGACTGAACGAATTTGGGTCAAGCGGTGTAAATGCTGACAAGACAATGTACGCGCTTGCTCGTACACAACCTATTAGCTAAACAGATAAACAGACGTGTTTTCTTATATGACCCCTTCTCATATGACAGTTGCATAAACTACTATTTCATTCTCCCATCGTGTATAAAGATTTATTTTTACTCCTCGACAACTGAGCCCAAGAGTGAAGTAAATTTAAATTTAGAATGTTACGTGCACCAAGTTTGTCAGCACCAAGTGCATGGTGGTGAATGAACGATACGGGGTAGGTACTGACTGTGGCGGCGCGAGTAGTGCTTGCGCGTGGGCGGCGGCCGGTCGTCGGGCGAGTCGGTCAGCAGCGAGTTGCGGTACGTGGTCAGCGGGGCCCACTCCTCGCCCCACGCCATCGACGGGATCTTCGAGTCCAGGAACTGCGGGCACACACGGGCACGTGTACTGAGGTGAACAAACGGCGGCGCGAGTCGGTGCCGGCGGTCTAGTCGGTTACCTTGAGCACCTGCCGCTTGTCCTGGCGCAGCAGCTTGGGCGAGAACTCGGCCAGCGGCTCCAGCAGCAACAGGCGCGGCGGGGGCGCGTTGGGGGGCGCGGCGGCGGGGGCGGGGGCGGGGGCGCCGGGCGCGGGGGCGTCCAGCGCGGCGTGCGCGATGCCCGCGCGGTGCAGCGCCGTCAGCGCCTCGCGGTTGCGCACCGCGTCCAGGCCGAACATCACCGAGAACCGCTTCGCCAACTCCTGCGCACGGATCTAAGGCTCGAGTACACGCCAGCGGTGGACGCAATGGACGCGTATACGACTAAGTAAACACTTCGGTGACCTCCGACTTTTAGAACGCAAAAACGTTTTATGATATATGTAGCGAGGATGACCGATCGTTAAATGATATGAAGCCAATGCGGATCTGTCTGTTCGATACGCTTCGTTAGTCATCACCGCGACCTTCGTGCGGCCCATATTGAGCCCCCGCTGCGTAGGATCGAGGACCACGGTCACATTTCAAATGAACGGGGAGGATATTACCTGTTTCGATAATCGATGCTGTGTTGCGATACCTAAAATTATTGCCGCGGAGAACGTCGATCTAATGAGAATTGACGGAACATAGTTTCTTCGAGTGACAACCATTCGTATAAACTATGAAGTCGTGACCTTCTGTGAAGATAATATGTCTTCGTTATATCGGACCTGTGATCCTCTACATCTACGTTGTTAAAAAACGCACTAAAACCCGTCGTGTAGTTCAAAAGCTCTCAGCGGACAAAGAGCAGGAAGCTACTTCATTGTATACATCATATAAATATTGGGTACAGTAAAATAGTAACATGGACACCTTGAGCTCCTGGAACTCGGGCATCTGGCGCGTGGGCGCGCGCGGGCGCTGCAGCGCGTCGGCCAGCAGCGCCTGCATGGCCAGCGCCATGGCCAGCGCGCAGCTCAACTTGCTGATCTCGCGCGCCTTGCTCAGGGTCGCCTTTATTATGTCCCCGTAGTCGTTGTAGCACTGCACCACCACCAATCACATTTATTATCGTACAGACATCATCAGACAGTAGTACATCGGTACACGGAGGGAAAGAATTTTGTTTTGGCTTCGTTAATGAGAAAAGGGGAAGAGATCTTCTTTATTTATTTTATCGTAAACGAGCTTAAACGGGCGTTCGTGCTTGCGACGCACGAAAGCCGTCCCACATTTCGCTCCCCGAGACGGGATTTTACGACCCCTGAGAGGGTAAATTAGGGAATGAAAGTTTTTATGGATTTTTATTCATTTCTGGACTTAAAACTAAACCACGCGGGCGAAGTCGCAGGCTAGTTTAGAATAATACAAATACTATCCAGAATTATATTTCGTTGTACTGAATAGAGGTGGGTTAAAAAAAATGAAAAATTTTATTGAGTCATATAAACAATTTTCCTTTTGCTTTAATTTAACAAGAAATAGTTTCAAGGTTAAAACATGACGTCATGCGACATTTCAACAAAACGTATCAACATAATTAATCGATTACGCAAAAAAATATAAAAATAAGTATTTAATATTTTTCATTAACGTACCTAACAGACAAACAAACAAAATCTAATAATTAGTCAACGAGTGCAGCAGACTCACCTTGATGTAGTGTTTGAAGACGTCGGCGGCGCGGCGGATGGGCGCCACGTTGTACACGATCAGCTTGCAGTACGCCGCCAGGAAGTTGCGCCGCTTGTGCAGCTCCTCGATGCGTCTCTCGTCTTGACCGTCTGCGCACGCGCACGCGCACGTCAATACGCGCGCACGTAACTACACGCGCACGCGCACGCGCACGCGCGGGCCCCCACGCGGAGTGGCCCGCGCGTGCGCGTGCCCGCGTGCGACCAGAGGAGGGCGAGCGAAGGCGGAGCTCCGACAAGTAGGCGTCGCAAAAATAAACTATATTTAAGAAGCGGCCGATTCCGGTCCGATTTCCGGAACCATATTTCGCGAACGAGTCTGGGAGCGACGATCGTACCCCTCCTTCGGTCGCTCGAAACGGGGCACCGGAAGATCGCCGCTCGGACATCTACAAAATCGTCCCGCTCGGTCGGCTCCCCGGCCCCCCGTTTCGCAATTATCGTTTCGAATAAGCCGGTGGGAGCATGCGGGCCATGCACCACTACGACGACTACGAAAGAAATAAAAAAAGCTCGACGGCGCACCGTCCCGCAGGGGCTACGTTCTACCGTTAATAAGGAGCGGAAATGTTATGCGCGACTCGGCGCCGCCCTCCGCCCCGGCAACCGAAGCGAACACGACGCCGCCCGCGGTTGCGGATCTCCCGACACTTAATTACTTGGCATTTATTGGACGCGAGGAACTCGTCAGCTCGGAACGGAACGACCGTAATCTCTTTTGCTTTCTATACTCGGGTGTGCCGATACCGAACGCGCCCGCCGGACCGACGACCGTCTGTTCGTTTCGATTCCCGGAGGACGTTCGCGAGCGAGGCCCCTCCACCGAACGCAACAGAAAGGAAGGTACAGGTGCGCAACAAGCATGCGAGCCGACTCGTCGGTCGGCCACGGCGCGACGCGACCGCTCGTCCCCAGTACCGGCGGCGCCCGCGCCGGCCCGGGCCGAACTATAGTATGCATTAGGGGTGGGGGCGCGGGCCGGCGCCGGACGGGGGGCGAGCGGCGCCGCCGCCCGGGGGCTTACCCAGCACGCCGCACGCCGCCCGCCGCCGCACATGCAACCAAACAACACGCGTTACGGCCCGCCGACCCCGCCCCCGCCCCCCCACTAATGCATATCGATACCTCGGTCCGCCCTCCCCGGGCGCACCCCCCGCCGCGGAGCCGAGGGGGCCGCGCGCGTCCCCCGGTGGGTCCCCGGGCGACCGACTATTTCCGGCCGAAGATCGAATTAATACGGACCCACCCTGAGACGCGCGAAGTCGCCCATCGTTTCGCGTCGGAAACCACTAACAATTATTTTACAGGAACCCGCCAGTGGTCGTGGCGAAGATTACCGTTCGACACATCCCACGAGATCGGTAGCAATATTAGGTCCTTACATATGAAATTGGCGTATTGTCGTCCTGGATGGCCACTTTAATCACAAATTTCTCCTCCTTGGTTGGGAATTCCGAATTCAAATATATACAGCCATTTACATATGTATTTGTGTTTCGTTAGGGCGGCATTTTTTCTTCCGTTTGTCCTATTTACGTCATCCAGTATGAAAATGAAAAACCTGAAATATCGTGATATTTACGAGTACGAGTTCCACCGTGGTACCAGTGCTGCGGAAACGGCTCGAAGGGTTAATGATATGTATGGCGGTTATGTAAACACAATGCGTTTTTGGTTCCAACGTTTTCGTTCTGGAAATTTCGACCTCCAGAACGAGCCCCGTGGACGGCCGGAGACCCAAGTTAATAATGAAGAATTGAAGGCTATTGTGGAAGCGGATCCGTCGCAAACCACGTCCGGCACCATAGCTGCAGGCTGCGGTGTTAGTGATAAAACTGTTTTAATCCACTTCAAGCAAATTGGAAAGATTAAAAAGCTGGAAAGGTGGGTACCTCACGCATGGAGTGAAGCAAACCGGCAAACGCGCTTCGACTGCTGCGTTACATTACTTAACCGGCACAATAATGAAGGTTCTAAATCGAATCATTACCTGTGATGAAAAGTGGATCCTCTATGGGGGCGTCCATAAATTACGTGAGGTGTTTTTTCAAATTTTCTGACCCTCCCTCCCCCTCTGGTGAGATGTCGTGAGATTTTGTTCAATCCCCTCCCCCATCCCCAAATCTCACGTGAGATTTTTCAAAAAGTGGGTTTCTTATTTAAACACGTTGGATTTTTTAATAAAAAGAAAAAAAATAATAATTCGCTTCGTACTTTTATTTACGACTAGTTAGAGACTAGTAATCCATATTGCTCTTATTCATCGAGTCACACGTTCAGCTGACAGTGGCGCGAAAACAAAGGACGGGCTACATTGTACCGTAAATTCAAATTAAATTGAGCTATTTGGTATAAAACGAGTATAGTGGTTTGACAATCAGGAGTGATGTATAATGTCAAAGTACGAATGAAATTATTTTCTTTCCAACGAATTAGTGAATGATCTTAACCTTAGACTTGTCACTCTATGAGGGATTCCCCGCACCGAGCCTTATTTTAAAAATTGCGTGATATTTGCCGAGACCCCCCCTCTCTCCAACGTGAGATTAGATGAGATTTGACTCGACTCCCTCCCCCCCTTAAACATCTCACGTAATTTATGGATGCCCCCTATGATAATCGGAAGCGCTCATCGCAATGGTTGGACCCTGGCATGCCAGTGAAATCCTGCCCCAAACGAAAATTGACCCCATAAGTTACTTGTAAGCGTTTGGTGCACTATTGCCGGTTACTGTTTTCTCAAATCTGGCCAGACGATTAAGGCAGACGTCTATTGTCAGCAATTGCAAACCATGCTGGTAAAACTAGCTGTTAAACAACCGAGGCTGGTCAATCGCTCTACGCCACTGCTAATTCACGACCACGCTAGACCACACACTGCACAACAAACGGCTACCAAATTAGAAGAGTTTCAATTGGAATGTCGAAGACATCCACCGTACGCCCCGGACCTTGCTCCAAAGATTACCATTTTTTTCGAAATTTGGATAATTTCTTGCAAGGGAAAAAATTCAATTCCGATGGAATCGCCTTCAGATTTTATTAATTCCTGTCCGAATGTTTTTTTTTTAGTAAGGGGATCAATGAACTACTTATGAGACGGCAGAAGTACATAGATAACAATGGTTTATACTTTGATTAAATAAATATATTATATTAAAAAATATTCGACTTTTTGTTACTCCCATACCAAACACCAATTTCATATGTAAGGACCTAATAATTTAGGTTTTCTGTTTTGTTCATTATTCTATATGTCGATGTATTTTTAAAATTAGAGTTTGAATATCTATCTGACCGTTTTGAAATCTAAAACTTTATTTTGATATTCGAAAAATATGCTGTTTTTTTTAATTTGAAGTTGGTTTTAGAACTTTTCATTTACATGTCATCATTCCTACTTAAAAATTAAATATTTACTTATTATTTAACGCTCAATTCATTGACCGTAAGCGCAGACGGGATTTTCATTGTTCGCCAACACCCCGATGACTTCTCTTCAAAAATTAAAAATACACTTCATAGTATTTTAGTGTATATTATGTATCTGCCGAGTTCCAGAAATCGTTTATACATACTCATCTTTACCACTGGAGGATTAGAATAACCAAAGAATCGCGGCAATTCTGTTGGCACCAGACCAAAAGTTGTAATCCTATCAAACTACTTTTTCAATGTTTATTTGAGATCTCGGTTGTTAAAATAAGTTTAACAGAAGAAAACTTATTTTAGTTTGTTGGAGTGTAATTGTTTCTTTAATTACATAATAATAAAATATAAGTAATCATAAATATATATTGAATTTGATCCTCTGAGAGTGGTACAACAGAATTGACACCGATATTAATGGGCATAGTATTTTTTTGAAGACTTTTTGAATACATACTTCCAATATAGATTATATAAAAATAGCATATTTTTACACAAAGCGATAAACGTTCACGTTCATAAATATATTAACGAACGTGTATTTTAAGATGACAATACGAACATTTTAATAGTATACACATTTGGACGATACATATTTTATAGAAAAGTTCACATAATCATAATTCAAAGAATAGATGGAGGCACCGGCGAAATTAACGCAAAAAGCCGACCTCGAACGGTCGCCAGAGGACGGGTTTCATATTAAACTCCTATTTCGGGAGCGAGCATCGGAAAGAAACCAAACATTTTTAATGAGCAACGGAAGTATAAACGGAGGCGGCCAGGTAGGGACGGCCAGGATAAGGCGAAAAGGACGACAGTTTCGTTTCTACATAGAAAACGTCCACATCGAACGCGAGGCGAACGATCGTACATGGAATATTCGCCCGCGGAGACGACAGAAGGCGGGAATCGTCGACGATCACTTTCGGTCGACGAGAACGGGACTGCGTTTAAACTTTATATTTCAATATTCACTATTTAATATTTCAATTTGCCGTATACTGAAAGTCATTTAAGGATCCGTTCATGTCGCAAGTTAATACTGTTCACGCTGCGTGCACTGTTTTTAGATTATAGTCTAGTCCGAATACTTTAAATATGTTTGTAGGATTCTCTTTCGATCACGATCTGTTCGGGGACCATTAATGAATAAAATAAATAAATAAAACGAAACGTCGAGTCGACGGACGGACGACAGGAACGTTCCGGAGAGACCGGAGGGGATAGGTACCGTAGTTGTGGTGCACGAAGACCACCTCCTGGATGAACCGGTTGAGCAGGTCGCACAGCGCCGCGTCCGGCTCCAGCACCAGCGGCCGCAGCGCCGGCTCGTGCGCCGCCAGCTGCTCCGAGAACAGCAGCAGCAGGTCGCACAGGCTGCTGTACGCCTCCGCGCGCAGCTCCGCCCCCTCCGCCCCCTCCGCCCCGCCGCCCGCCGCCATGTGCCGGCACGCGGCCGCGTACGCGTGCAGGCGCGCCCGCAGCGCCGCCACCGCGTCGCCCGCCCCGCCCCCGCCCCCCGCCCCGCGCACGCTCAGCTTCTCCTCCACCTCGTGCAGCGCCCACAGCAGCGAGTAGAAGCACGCGCGGATCACGTACACCACCGCCTGCGCGCCCGGCCCGAACGTGATTAACATAACACGATCCGGGGCGGTTCCACATCGCGCCCGAGGACCGATCGAATGTCATCTTTCAAATAAACAAATACCCGGTCCTTCCGAGTGCCCCGCGACCCCGTGTTCCGTTTTAATTATCCAACTGTGTAGACGTGTGTTCGGAAATATTTTTCAAGGTTTCGGTAAATCTTACATTCATTTTATATTTAAATTGAGCATAGACCGAAACTACCTTCTGAATCTCGAGAAATTTACCTCCTCTAAAAATATCTCCCGTCAAAATATATAAAATTCGTTTCACAAAAATCGGTGCCTAATTATATTTACATTAAAAAATAGTTTCAGTCGGTAAATAAAAAAGCAAACGAGCGCGACCTGCGTGGGCAACTGGTGGGCGGCGGGCGGGTCCGTGTGCTTGGGCAGGTCCTCGTACAGCGAGTCCCATATGTTGGTGTCGTTGAGGTTGTGGCACATGTACATGATGGACACCTTCCGCAGCGAGTTGACCACGTTGAACACCTCGTCCGCGTCGGGAGTCTCGCCCTGCAACATCCGACGAACGAGACGCATCAGCATCGTCGTCCAGATGGCGCGCGAGAGCTAGCGTAGAGGTACGCACCCCCTCGATGAGCGTGCGGTACTCGTCGATGGCCTCCTTGTACCGGTTGACGCACATGTCGGTGACGGTGGCCCTGGCGACGTTGCATCGCGTGTACACGCCGCCCTGCTCGCTGCACAGGTACTCCAGGGTCCGCCCGCACGCCTCCACCACCTCCGCCTCCGTCTGCACGCTCACTATCTCCCGGATCTTGTTCAGCAGCAGCGTCAGGTTCTGCGACGAACAATGGGCGTTACGTTCGTTCGATATCGAGTTTTGCGAGGGGATCGATTATAAAAATGGCAATGCCGATAGTCACCCCCTCCTGCCGCTGCGTGGTGTACAGCTCCAGGTCGAAGTACTGCGGTATGGAGACCAGGTTGGTGAGCTTCTCGGGATCCGCCCCGAACTTGTCCAGGAGCGCGGGCAGCGTGCCGATGAAGTGAGCCGTCATGCGGGCGCGGTCGTCGCTCACCATCTATACACCCGTACCGTACGTACTAGTATTATATGCGGGAAATTGTATTTCTATATTTTTTTACAACAACCTATGGTCGGGAAGCTGAAGTCTTATGAGCTTATTGTTCTAGAGAAAACAAAACTCTTAGTTCCATTTAACTACGCAAGCGTACCCGCGAGTAACAACTAATCGTATTTATCGATAATGCTGGACATCGACCCAGTTAAATATGACTCCTATGAATGCCGTTACAAATTTATAGTAATAATAATTAATAATTTCTAATCATTTTATCTACTATTTCAATGTAATAATTATATAAAAAGAAGCTGATAATTTACCTCCTATTTAGTTGTGTGCAATGATGAGACAACAAATGCACAACGAAGGTATTGCCGACTGGCGTACATATTGATATTTTAACAAACAACAAAATTAATTTTATTCGTGAAAATTATTATTCAAGCTAATCGTAATACGTTGTTTCATATTAACATGCACAGGTACATCCATTTAAAAAAAAAAGTAAATCAAGTAGCGTTAAATTTTGTTACTTTCCATAGAATATGAAAAATGCAAAAAGTGAAACAACGCTGTTTCTAAAGAATCATGTGCACTTTCTATGAAAAAATGTATGCATTGATTGACCTGTCACATGTTTTTTTTTTTTTTTTTTATAGCGTCTACCCACCTTTGGTAGCAATTTAAATTAGTTTATGCTTTCAATACCTAACAGCGTTTGCATGCGGGTTCTTTTTAGAACGTAAAATAAGGGTTGAAAGTTTAGATGGAAATCAGTGGATTTTAAAGTTAGAAATATGGTTTATTTTAGGTTAATAATAAAAATAAATTTAAAGAAATTTTACAATTAAAGGGGTGAAATCAGTGTTGCAAGTTTGTATAGAAGTCCGTCAATATAGAAAAACCTCCTCCCGACTTCAATAACATTTTCTTGAATAATTCGCATTTGAGATAAGTATTATTTTTAAGATTTTTAAAGTTCGAAGTCGGTTCTATTTTCTTTAAGTCTTTATTTCATACTTTTTAATGATATTGATATTTTTATATAATAGGCAACACTAAAAATACTTTTCTAAAAACCGCGTCAAAACCGCGTTAAATTACGAACCTCCATTTTTTAGTCCGTTAATATACCTAAAACCTTCTCCTAAGTCTGACTAAATACTATGCAGAAAATCACATCAAAAGAGATGATTCAACCTTCTTTTTTTGGAGTCGGTTTAGACACTAAAACCCTCTCCAAAGTGTAACAAATACTTTTATGAAAACTGCATCAAAATCGGTTCAGCTAAACGCGAGATAATCGTGAACAAACATACATACATACAGGTCAATCTGAGAATCTCCTTTTATGAAATCGGTTAAAAACTAATACTTTCATACAATCTTAACCTTTTTTCCACCCCCCTAGGGATTGAATTTACGTAAAACTTTCGTGGTGTTTTCTCCACAAAAAACTCTACTGACTAAAGATCATTGCTCAAACTTCAAGTTTATGCTAAGCGATGAAAAATTAGACATAGAAAAAATATATTTGTATTGATTTATGTAATTGTATCATGTGTATTTTGTCTAGTTCTAATGTATATTTACTTATCTTAAACAACAAAACACAACTTAGTAAATAAGTTGATCTTTCGTTTAAATTTCAAATAAATTTTGTTATAAAATATAAATGCCCAGTGGACGGGAATTTATGGACGCTTATTGGGAAAAATATTCTTAATGAAAAATGCTTTAAAAAATCCACTTCGGTTCGGAGTACCAGGGAGAAGTGGATTTTTTAAAGCGTTTTTCATTATGAATATTTTTCAAAACAGCATTGTGAATGCAAAATTTATCTATCGCAAAAATCTAACGCAAACCCTTTCAATTTGACATACGTCAGATAACTTCAAAAGCTACCGAGAAATATCGAACGAAAGAGTCGAACGTCAACTATAATATTACGACGGGTTAAGCTGTTTTTCTTACGTTTCTCGATCCTTCAAATCGTCGTTCGTTTTAAAAGCGATCGCGGCGAAGTAGGTTTTGAAATTGGACAATCGGCCCACCGATTAAGAAAACCGTATCACGTACGGAAAGCCACGTGTTGCTTGGGTAATATAAGCTACTGCACCTTGGCCTGCTCCTTGGTGAGCATGTGGTGGTGGTGGTGGCGGCGCGCCGGCCCGCGCCCCACCGGCGGCTCCCCCGTACTGGCCTGCCGCACGCAGCACACCATCAGCTCTATCAGCGACGATTCCTGCCACACGCATACAGTACACTACCCTCCTGCACTCATGACACCCCCCTCCCCCCCCTACCCTGCCGCACGCAGCACACCATCAGCTCTATCAGCGACGATTCCTGCCACACGCATACAGTACACTACCCTCCTGCACTCATGACACCCCCCTCCCCCCCCTACCCTGCCGCACGCAGCACACCATCAGCTCTATCAGCGACGATTCCTGCCACACGCATACAGTACACTACCCTCCTGCACTCAATAAATTCTCAGTGAAGTCGTGTCAATACTTCTTTATATATAGTACATCTAATATTATAGAATACATATGAAGTTGAACGAATGCAAAAAAAACAAAAAACAGATGAGCCATAAAGTCGAGAGCAAACCCGATCCTATTGTTATCGAGCTCACATAATAACTCATCAGTGTTCACCGAGACGAAACAGTCAATATATTTAAAAATGTTAACAAGAGTCTCTAATAGAACTACATGTGACCGATTAAAGTAGCAGATGAACGCACCTGTCTGTTGTCGAGCGCTTCCTCTCCGGACCCCGCCTCCTCCAGGAGGAGATCGGTCATGCACTCCCAGTCCTTCATCATGGGGTTGGATTCTATCAACGAGTCGACCAGGTACGCCCCGTGCTCGTGCAACTGGACACGATAGCGTTTATACAGTTTATGACATATAAGAAGCGCGGCGAGCTCGGCCCGTGACGTACCTCGGACTCGATGAAGAACTGCACGAGGTCCCTGACGAGCGGCGTGTTGGGCAGGCGCGCCTTGCCGCGGCGGGAGCGCGGGGGCGGGGGCGGGGGCGGCGCGTCGCGGTCGGGCGCGTGCGCGTCGGCGCGGAACAGGCGCACGTTGAGGAACTCGCCCGCCGCCGCCGCCACGCCGCGCCACGACGAGTACACCAACTCGTACACGTTCTCGCAGTCCTTGTCCGTCAGCACGTCCGGGTGCATCCTGCACACGCGCACACGTACACGTACACGTACAACTGCCCGCCCCCATACCCCCATACCCCCATACCACATACACACACTACTCACAGCTGGAAAGCGAGCCGAGCGCGACCTCAAGTACAGAGGCTATTTGTCCATTTCTAGTAGAGCGACAATAACACTTTGAGACTTTTCAACTGCTGTAGCTATTATCGTACACAATAAACTTTTTATAGGCTTTTCGTGCAATTCGATATCGAAGAGCGATATCGCAATCGCATCAATCGCGCGCCCTCATAATATGTATAGAGAATCGGAGGTGTTTGTTTACTCATGATACTGCCCAATGTCAATATCGGTAACAAATCTCCTCTACATCGAATTACATGTACTCATAGCCTGCGATATCGCTTCAAATGTATATCGACCGGCTCGATCTAATTTTGCGTAATCTCATATGCACGGGTATACTAATATTACCTAATCATTAAAACATTCAATTTGACTAGAATGAATATGGCAATATTCCTGCTATATAAATAAATGAAAAGATGGATGGAGTAGTATTGTTTAATCTGCGATTGAGGAAGTTAAGCAACGATCACAAAGGCCAACAATAGGATTGATGATCAAATTTTTTCCAGAACAATTTATGACAAAGAATACTTGTGTATGCCGTGGTTAGCGCGTTTAGTCTGCGAAATCGGTGGGTGACCAAATTTTTTTTACATGTTACTAAGCACAAGAGAAAAAAAGAGAGCAAATACAACTGAATTTCCCCACGTATCTGCCCCGACCCATCGGCCTTGGGCAGATACGGGGGCAGAACGTAAAAATTAAGAATACGACAAATATGTCGTATTCTTAATTTTTTACTAATACTCTGCTGTGATCACGTACACCATCATCCAAATATTAAGTCTTCATGGTAATGGCATGGCCTTAACTACAAGTTCACTTGGACAACACATCTACACAACACTTTTCACCATTATAACTGTTGAAATGTAAAAAAAACTACAGAATTAAAATTACCAATTACTATACGTAAATTATGTATTATATGTCACCGCCATGACGTTTCAAAGGGATAAGAGTATATAATAAGTGAACAAAAAGCCTTGATAATATTTTTTTAATCAATGATATTTTTTTATACTGGCGAAATGAAAGAACGAGACACACGGCCTCCGCTGTGTACAAAAACAATTAAAAGTATACTTTAACTGATAGTAATAAGGTTTCATTTTTGTTATTACAATTTTTCAGAGTTATAAGTCTTGTTATAAGTACTAAGTCCATGAGTACACCAGCTCGTACATGTTTTTATAGTCACAAACATGCGATCGATTCGCTCGTGGAATGAATGGAAAGAGAACTCACCTATTATGCTCACCGCTTCAAGAAATAATATAAAATCTAGTTACTTGAGTATGGCGATGACGAGTCGCACGGCGTGTACGGCGACCTCCGTCTCCTTGTCCAGAGACATGGCGACGATGCGATCCTTGAACTTGGAGGTGAACAGCTCCAGCTTGCCCTTCAACTCCTCGCACTCGTAAAGCGGCTGCAGCGCTTGTAAGCACCGGAGGCGAACCTCGCCCACCTGACCCAAAGATCCCAGAGACGCCGTTATGGAAATTGCACCAGTTCAGTTTGCCACAAAAAACCGATCTTTAAAATAAAGTCTATTAAATTTAAATTATTAATATACTGATTTACTAATGGTGATTGATGTTTACGGTTGTCTTTGTTTCGAAAAAAATACTTATAACTTCAATCTTAAAGCAGTTGTAACATTTTATTATTAAAGATAATTTAATATAGAAATTATTTAAAAAAATAGGACCACGCTTGTGACAGTAGCCGTCTATGTCTATGTTGATCGACAAATATAAAAAAATCATACAGTACAATATATGTTCCATTCTCTTCATTAGCTTCCATTTCTCTCACATCCGACAAATCCGACGATGACCGAATGATAAATATATATAGTGAGTCTTGTTTCAATTGTCATAAAGTGTCATTTGCCACGATTCAAAGTTTAGCCTTCTACGGAAAAATAACGGTGAGCCGCAATCATCTGTATTGTACCTTACTGTAAATTGATGTAATAAAACTTATTGTCACCTTATCGTGTAGAGTCCACCCGATGTACTTAAGATAGAGATCGTCGAGGAAGTGCGCGGGGAACTTCTCCATCCAGATGCCTATCTCAGCCATCGTGATGGCCCGTATGTCCGGGAGCGTGTCCCTGATCAAACAAATAAGTAATGTGTCACAATGGTATAGTATCAAATGTGACAAAGTAGTAGTAGTGGATTGTCAAAAATGAGATCTTTAGAGATACAGGAAATCTTAAAATTAATATAATGTAACTATACGCATTTATAATAAACTGTCATTTTTCATTCTTTTAAGTGCTCGTTTTCAGAATAAAATACCTTCCTTGGATCGTAAACTACCTAAATACCCCATATAAATTATAAGATTGTATAAGACGGGTATTAACGCGATAGATTTCGATAGTTATATTTCCCGACCGATGATCGTACCATATAAATTATGCATATTTCTCCCTGGTTCACCAAGAACGATGAAATCCATACATATCATGTTCATATGAACATGCCAACAGTGAATGATCGTCTAAAGAATCACCCAAACCCTCTTATAGCCGAGTTGTTGGACCCATCGAACGTGGTGAAGAGATTGAAAAGAGACCACATACTTAATTAGTAGAAGCGGTGATGACCTTGTGTCAACATGAAGATATTTACTAGCGTGTTATAATATTGATCGCATACAAAACTGCAAGCATGTAATGACCTCGATTCCACGACCGCCGTTCCACGAGGCAGCGCTTTACGCCAGCGAAGGGAATTTAAATATAATTATTATATTTCAATCTGATTCTAACATCGGTCGGTGTTAGTTATAGAATCTAATTTGTAATTTCCATTTTAAACAATATATTTAAAATAATTTTAGTTTTTTTTTTAATCCTCCGGCTGGGACCTCCATAACTAGCGTGTGACTTTGTCGGAGTCGCAATCACTTATGAGGCATTTTCAGATAAAAGGTCAAAAAATATTTGATTTTATTTCATGCAATCTGCAAAAATTATACATTATTTTGTTTTAAATAAAGTAAAATAATATATGTTATTACGCTATTATCTTATAGGATGGTCACAGTTTTTAATATATTTAAATGTTGTCAGGATAAAAAGTTTGAAAGACATCTTTGAGTAAAAATAAGAAATATAGTGTAAACTATTTATAACGAAACTCATGGGACGGAGCATTTTTTATTGTTATAGAGAGTTATCGTTGTATGAAACTAACACAAATCGCTTTTTTTTTACTGGCCATGTTAACAGTTTCAAAGTTGGTTTAAGGCTGATAATACAATACGTACCCAATATACTTGGTTGAAGACCATCACTTCCAAGAAAACAAAGCTTCAATGCTTCATGTTGCACGTTTTCAATGCAGTTAAGAATAATTAAAAACAAAACCGACCGTTTAGGAACTCGGATATTTCGGAGCTTCAAAGTATTTTGTTATTTGATAAGATAACGTAAACAATAATACCGATAATAAATATTTACTCTCTGAATATGAACACGTTTCGTCGTAATGGATAATGGTTGTATCGCCGCTATAGAGTGTATCATACGTGGTTTTTAACACAAACCAACCAAGTTGGGCTCACCTCTACTTTATAGGGAGTTTATCGTTATAAAATATGGCGTTATAAAGAACACTGCATATTTTTTCTATTGGTTTTGTCTAGCAAGATAAAGCATCTAGAAGTTGTGTGGAAAAAGAGACGCAAAAACTTCTAGCGGCTATCAATGAAATAAGCGCAAGCGGCGCCTTCCGATTGTTTCATTGATGTTTTAAAGATCTAAAAGGCATAGATTAAACACATTATTATAAATAATAGGAACATTGCATTAATAAAAAATAACATGTGGGTGGTAAAAAACTGAATGATGTAAATTAAAAAAAAAAAAGTATTAAGCAGTGATAATTTTCGTGATTATTATCACGCTAATTATCAAATTATATACGCATACCTTGACAATTATCTTGATAATTACAAAACATTACAGGGAATCTCATCTTTAAACAACTATGAAATATTTGATCAAGTTTGCATTCACGATACTATACTGAACAATATTCTTGGTCAAATCTCAGGGGTGCCAGGGACCAAGTGGAATTTTTAAGCATTTTTCATTAAGAAAACAATATAGAGAACATTGTCTAGGATGGACCTACAAAAACAAAAAATATACACCCCTTTTTAAAATTATTTTTTTATCTATTTATTTATCATTTCACTTTTTGTTAAATGTGATTTCACAGTTCATTTAATGTTTGTATAATTTTTATTATATAAAAAGAAAAAATGATTACTCATTTATGTATTTAAAATATAGTTGCCAATAACTATGCATAATTATCAAATATTTATTGTATAATTATCATAATAATTATCCAAAAATATAATTATCTTGATAATTACGAACCCTAGTATTGAGTACCTCTTATCCTTTTACATTTAGGCGTATTTAAAAGATCATCAGCTTTTGTATGATAATTAAAAAAAAACTAATCTGATTATGTACAATAAATGAAATAATCAAGATATTTAGCTACCAAGTATACTAAATTGAAAATGTCATCAAAAAATATATTTCAAAAGTCAAAACTTAACCAACCTAATAAAAAAAATCTCTTTATTAGAATACATTATGCCTAGAAAAAAATTAGGATGTCAACTAATAAATGTTCCTGCAACTATTAAGTGTTAAAATGCATGCCTTTGCTGTATGTACAAGTGAAGGGTGGTACTTGATGATTTTTAGGTAGGTAGATAGACAAAAATTGGACCTTTAAATACTGACTGGTAAAACGTATGCATGCAGCTTACCTATATCTGTGAACGAAGACAGACTTGAACATGTATGAGAGCATATTCTTAATCTCCTCCATGTTCTCCTCGAGCTCCTGTCTCTTGGCGACGAGTACCTCAAGTCTGTCCGACGCGCGCTTGTCTCGAGCCTTCAGCCGCTCGGCCTCGTACTGCCGCAGACAGTTGTCACAGTTCACACTCGTCAACAATGCCACGTCTACCAGTGCCGTCATAAGCTTCATCACTGTTAGTTAACAATCAAGTTTTTCTTGAATTAAAGGACTGACACACTCTGTGATTATACACAAAAATAAATGTGTTGCTATATAATCTTGCAAATCATGAATGCACTATGCATATTTGTGTGCAAGATGAACCTTGCAAGAAATACTCACTTTGTTTTGTACAAAGAAAAAAGGTTACAACCTTTATTATAGGAGAAATTGATAGATATGCAAGTCACTTAGTAGAGAGTATGCAGTAGAGCTCCAATAATCAGTACATTAGGCATAATAATTGCAACTTATTAATTAAATACCATTTTTGACATGCAATTAATTCACAACTCTTTGTCACTATCCATATAATTGCCATTCACAATGTATGCACTTAAATAAATAAGTTGTTAATTTAACAGTAATAAATAAACCAATTTGTTGTTCAGTCAACTCACCAGCTAGAGTGGCAGTGTGCCTGAAAGCTCTCACTTGCGAGTCAGAGAGGCCGGTCAGAAGAGATATTATGTTATCCATTAAGTACTGGTCATAAATGATGGAGTATTGACACATCTTTACCAGGGTTTGGATGAACTCGCAGAAATTTGATCTAAACTTTTTCCAAGTCTGCCCTGTCATTATTAAAGGGTACTCTCCACTTTCCTGTTAAATATATAGAAGTAGCTCTTAATTTATTAAGCAAATTAACAAAGATCACTTTAAAGGTTTACAATAAACCTAAACATTACAATTAAAAACAACTAGGGTAAAATCAGTAACTGACCTCATCAAACTCTTGTGTCATCTTTTTGATGATGAGGGTGTGATCCATGGAAGCCATGTCAGGAGTAACCTTACCACGGCAGCCAGATGAATTGATGAAAAACTGCATCAATTGCACTAGTGCACTTTCACGGTTACTTTTATACTCTTCAATCCACATGTCTACTACTTGCTGTAAGATGAAAATGATACAAATTTCTATATTAATGTCTTTGCCAGATAGACAAGTGAAAATAGATAATGACCCAGAATTTAAGCTTACATTGATAGCAGTCTTGTTGAATCTGAGAATATTATAAAGGCTGTTCTCGTCATCTCCAGGCAGTAAAACCGGCGGTGGTGAATACGCAGGCGGCGGAGCTGCGGCTTTACCTCTGCCCCTGCCTCGACCGCCACCTCCCCTCGGTTTGCGGCGCAACGGTGGCGGTGGCGGCGACTCTGCCAGGCATCCCACATAACCACTGTCAGCACCTCGACCACGACTTCTCGTCACGCGTTTAGTGACGGCCGGAGAAGGTGAGCGCACGTCCTCCTCTTCATGGTGAGCCTCCTCCGCTTCCTCTCGCACAGGTTCGACACTTACCCCTTCAAAACCCGGCCGACTCAAATCTGGTTCATGAGTAGACCGCCCGCCATAATCTGTAGCGGGAGTAGCAGGAGTTGTAGGGTTTACATACTCCGGAGGTGGGTCATCCATTCGGATACGTTTCCCGCCGCGACGATGCATCTTAAAATACGTATATTTTCTATGAAACGATACCAATTATTATCATTTTACTTCATAAACTTTTTCGAAATTCATCTGAATCCTAAGACACCCGGTGAATACACGGCCTCGCCCTTTAAATATTGATTTTTTTTAATGTAAACTAAATCGATTTCTCCACCAAGCCATTAAATGACCACAGACCGGTCTAGAGCACAGACAACAAAGGAGACCAAAGAGCAGTGTTACCAATTCTAAATAACAGTTACCCTAAATAACCCCGAATGGTGTAATCAAAAGCCCCAAAAAAGCCCTGTCCTGCTTGTATTACTTAAAAATAAGTCTTCAAATAATTTTACAGGTTCTACTTCGTCACTTCGGAAAATAATATTCAGTTAAATAACTTTTTTCAATTCATCTCTTAAAAACAAAAACAACGTGACGTTTTATAATATCATGAAGCATATCTGCCATATAACATATGTCTTGCGACTTAGCAAATGAAACAGTAATTTAAACTCATCCCATTGTTCTATAATCGTGCTGATAGTTCGGACACCATGACACGAAATTATAACTACAGAAAATGCAATTAGATTAGAAAATGTCATATTGAAGTTGTGGCGACTGATACATAGCGACATCTTATTCATCGCAGTAACATTGCCACAACAATCGATAGCGAGAAGACTAGCATCGTCACAGCCATCGATAGCAAGACGAACTGCAATAAGTTTCAACAGCAAGTAACGAGATGGCGCTGTACCAATTCAAGCAACATAAATTAATAACTACAAGACCATTTAGAACAAAGAAACCTACATCGTACAGAATAAGTTTCATTACCAATTAACATAAATAGAACGTCCAACCTACTTCGGTTGGACCGCGGTCCCCGGGCTAACAACACCTAGCTCGGAGGGAGACAATTATCCTTTAGTCTCCCTGGCCAGTTATCTCCGTCACTACAGTAGGGACCACACCTTCAATCTTAAGGTTCCTAAAGTGGTGACCCCAGCAGAACATCAGCAACCTTCAGCAGCACAACGCAGCCATCACCCTTCATCATCAGCCTCTCATCCCTCATCAGCACAGCCACTTCAGCAGCAAGACAGCCAACACCAAGGTCCATCACAGCAGCATCAACGGCGCTTCCTGGATACTTGGCACCACTCGACGTCATCATCCCGACCTGGTCCTCGCAGCCCACGACCGGACCTCAGTTCACACACAACTCACCGGCGTGGCAGCCCTGCACACCAGCAGCTTCGGTCCCAACGTCACAACCATGGCACTTGCAAGCTCTGAAGCACTGACTGCATACCACCTACTATCAACATGGATCGACCTTCGGTCTAGGGGGAAAGTACTGTGGCGACTGATACATAGCGACATCTAATTCATCGCAGTAACATCGCCACAACAATCGATAGCGAGAAGACTAGCATCGTCACAGCCATCGATAGCAAGACGAACTGCAATAAGTTTCAACAGCAAGTAACGAGATGGCGCTGTACCAATTCAAGCAACATAAATTAATAACTACAAGACCATTTAGAACAAAGAAACCTACATCGTACAGAATAAGTTTCATTACCAATTAACATAAATAGAACGTCCAACCTACTTCGGTTGGACCGCGGTCCCCGGGCTAACAACACCTAGCTCGGAGGGAGACAATTATCCTTTAGTCTCCCTGGCCAGTTGTCTCCATCACCACAATAAGGACCCCAACCTTCAACCTTACGGTTCCTAAAAAGTCATAGCAATATTAGCCCTCAGACGTACACGCATGTCCAACTAAACATTTACTTCTTTATAATGCACAATTGGTACCTGTTTTGTCAAATAATTTATCATTTTGTCAATTGTTGAATTCGAAGAGAAAACATAGTTCTTTTGTATGTTGCAAATGATGTTGATTAATCTATTTTAAACCAAATAAAAAGTTTTAATGGGTAATTTTAGACATTACCTGAATTTTTTATTACTAATTTATTTAATGTTTTTGGCACTAAAATTAGCCCTAAATTTTCTTGAGCCCCAAAAAAGCCCTAAGTTGGTAAGCCTATCAAAGAATAAAAGTATAAAGGAAATGGTAGTCTAGAGTTAGTTAAACAAACTTTTTTTTTATAAATGAGAATGTATTTAAAAAAAAGTAAAGAATCTACAAAAATTTATGTCACATCTAATGGCAGAATAAATTGTTGGATCTAAACGTTAATGAGGAAATACAATTAAAATAAATTAAAATTAATTTGAAAGTTAGATATTTTAAAAAACAAAAAACGATGACATATTTATTAATTTTCGATACTCAATATGAATGAATATCATTTACAAAATCCAAACATCACGAGTGACATCTGGTATGATTTCAAGAACAAATTTTTATTTTTAAATACTTCCTCATTGAAGATTATTAACTGTGAACCAAGATAACACTTGTGAGAGAGCATTGTTTCCATCGTCAGTATTATATTTATTTCTGTCAATGTTAAATATCAATGAAGTGGCATCTGCAAACAATATGATCTCACATAGGCTTTTAACAAAAAATGATCAATAATTTATATATGTATATTATAAATGGACATGGGCCTCAGATAGAACCTTGGGGAACGCCAATTTTTACATGAGACTTCAACAACGATAGGGTGACAATCACATTTTAATTAAATAAGACTTTTCGTATGGTTCAATTGTTAACCTACTGCGGCAATGGTTCAGTTATACACAATAATGTTGTTAAACCTTTTGTTACAATAAATATATTTTTGATGATGATATATATGTTCGATAATATACCGGATGCAATTAAAATGACTCTCCAAATTTTTTCTAGGCATTAGGTATCGTTAATAGATCACATAATATATGAAAAATAAACGGTATGTAAAATTTTCAAAATGAAATGTAAACTTGTTGCAATTACAAGATAATTGTCACACGAGTTATGAATAAAACAAGCAGGGGTAGAAGGGCGCGGGCGCAGGGGATGTACTCGCATGTGCCAACGACGATGTCTGCTCGGTTTTTTATTTTGTCGGCGCACATTAAAAGACGAAAATTAAAAGACGTGTGTATGTTGAGGAAGCACAAAGCCTCGAGGACTTAAAAGTGCAAATCAGAGCGGCATTTTACCAAGTGAAAAATGACACGGTAGTGCTCGCAAAATTAAAAGACAATGTGCAGAAAAGGTGCAAGACTCTGTTTGGAGAGGAACGGTATGTACTTTGAACAATTATTAAAGTATACAAAGGTAAATAGGTAGTTAAATTGATTAGTTGATTATGTACATAAAGTTGATTAAATACGCCTGATTTCAAAAGTGATTTCAAAAATACTTTGAATTGGTTTAACTAAACAGAATTTTAGGTAACTCGATATTTACTTACCTACTTACTTTATAAATTTAAATCAGTATAGCTATTATAATAGTAGGTATCTAATAGGATTTAGGCAATTTGACGGTCTTAAGCCCGTAAAAGTATGAAGAGGTTTCAACTTTATTTACCATTTCCCCAAGTATGACAAAACGAAAACATTTTAGGTAGCTGCTATTATTACTATCAATGAATTGCGGCAAGGGAGGGAGAGGTAAGTGCAACGTAGTGCGTAAAGCGCACGTACTGGGCAGCGAGAGCGTCCACAAATGTAGGTTTTTGAAAATAACTTGATGACGATATAACTCAACATTTTTGTTCTAAACGACATAAAAAGAAAAAACCCGTATTTCATTATTTGTCGTAACGATTAACATACTCAAATTTGGAGAGTGGTTTTAATTGCTTCCTGTATATGGAGAATCGCAAGTGTTTGTTTACTCATGAGATTGCACAATCTGTTAATATCGGTCACAAATCTCCTCTATATCGAATTGCATGTACACTCATAGTTTTCGATATCGCTTCAATTATTTCATAAATAAATAGTCCATTAATATCTGAGAAATAATGTAGAAGTAATGTATGGAAATAATGTACACCACATCTGCAATGGATAGTTTTGGTGATATTGTAACACTAGAAAATTTCATTTTATTTTACTTCAATTTTGATACTAATTTCTAATATCCACCACCACCAGCCCTTTTACGTCCCCACTGCAGGGGCTCAGGCCTTCCTTATGGATGGTTAAGGAGGATGGGCCATGACCCTCCACGCTGGCCCAATGTGGATTGGAGGGTATTGACGACTGCAAATGCAGCCGGGACCAACGGCTTAACGTGCCTTCCGAAGCACGGAGTAGCTCGAGATAATAATTTTTTGGTCACCCATCCCTTGACCGACCCTAGCGAAAGTTGCTTAACGACTACGTTCGCGGGCCGCGGCGCTTATCCACTACGCCACCGAGCTAGCTATTTCTAATATATATATCCTTAAATATTATGACTTGTAAACACTATTTTAAGGCATTTGCGAACGTCGCTTAATCTTGGTAATCGCAGATCAAACGCACTAATCAATGGTACATGTAGGAGAAGGCAAGAAAGCGAAAACCCACCAAATCCTGTTTAGCCAAATAAAAAAAATTATCACCCATCCCATTACTAGCCTTTGCGAACGTCACTTAAATTTCACAATCGCAGATCAAACGCCATCGCCACGACACTTCAAAGTGACAGCAGTAGAAAATAAGTGTACAAATAGCCTTGATAACATATCGTATTTATTATATTTTTTTGTAATATTGGTGAAATTTATGTGATTATATAATAACTTTGGATTTTAAAATAATGACCATTAAAATACAAATGTTTTCACTACATTTGGTTTACCTTGCAAAAATTGCTTGTGATGCTGTGGATTGTTCTGAACTCTTGTCAAAGATTACTTTTAGAGCCTCATAAAAACAACTCAGGTTCAACCCCTTGTTATATCTACCCCCTGCGTCTTCAAACTTTCGGCAGAATTCATTCATTTGGCGGGCATGTAATGGATTCGACGAACTACCAAAGCGAGTAAATGTTGACCTTCTTAACACTAGCGAAGCGTCGATTAAGCGTGTTATTGGTAACTTATTCTTTTTAAATAAGGAATAGTATTTGATTAGAATATATATGTGTCATTCATTATACTTTTATATATGTATTATTAATATATCACTCCGTAAGTAACGTAGTTATTCTGATATTATTGTAATTGTTAACGATATTTTTTACTTTATACCAAATCTATAAGCGAAGACTGTCTGTTTTTGGAAAAAATGTCAATTTGAATTGTTCGCTGTTGATCGTCCAAGACTGGTATTAAAACAATCTAGATTTTGATAGTTAGGTTTTTCACCTACCTATATTTCCCGACGTTTCGACCGGTTACACTCGCCGTGGTTACGGGCTGATTGTTTCTGCGGTGCTACGTCTCATCTTCTCAAATGGAATCCACTTCCACTGTCCAGTTTTTACCCCAGGTACCGCCACATATAATATTAACGGAATCCTTATTGTGTATCGCAGCTGTATTCTGGTGGTCCGGCAACCACGAAAAGTTTTTTATCATTGGATTCCACGTTGTTGATAATTTAAAACCATCTTCGGGATCAAAGCGCAATTTACTTTTATACTGACATAATAAAAGTAAATTGAGTATCGAAAATTAATAAATATGATATCTTTTCATGATTCTTATAATATGTAACTTTCAAATTTATTTTATTTTATTTGAATCGTAAGCTTATGTTATTTATTATTTTACGTGTAAAGGAACGATGTTTAGTTTATATTAAGTATGTGGTTTATATGTAAACATTAGTGAAGGGCCAACTTATTAGTTGCTCGTAACATCAATGAGGAAGTATTTAAAAAAAAAAAAGAAACTACAAAAAATTACGTCACTAGACGGCAGCACAAATTGTAGGATCTAAATGTCAATTCATGATGTAAGACCAAAGAGAATAGAATTGTCAGTGTTGTATGAATCTGATAATTAGGGTTAATTTCGAGTTGGGATTCAACTAGTTCGAGTTAATGCAATCGCTAGGTGTTGAAAATGCGAAAAAAATCCTCATAAATAAAATTCAGGCGATTAAAAATCGCGATGTTGACAGTCCCTTAGAGATTGAAAAAATATAATGTCACATTCTGTGCTTGAAGGAATGAGTTTCATAGGGTATGTTCCGATATACACTGCGAGCACTGCGCAGTGGTCTTACTGCTGAAAAATCCGTTCCGTTATGGACTGCCAGTATACTGCTACAGTACCGTAGGGAAATTTATGACGTCATGAATTGCCGCCATATTTGTACTGTGAGCACTGGAGGTTTCGAGGTGCAGTGCTCGCAGTGCTTTTGACCACGTGATCAGTCGAAACAGATAAAATAAAATACTTACGTTTATTATAAGATGGATTTGATTGATAAATAATTTTTTTATACAATTTTCCAATTTTATAATATTTTCTTTTGAAAAGAGGGAATCTTTATATTTATATTCACCTTGCATTAACAAATTTGAAAATGGCGCCAAAAATAGGATTAACAGTATACTGGACTGCGTTCCGTTTTAAAAAGTCACCAGTATAACTAAGCTATAAAGGAACGGGCTTCCAGTATACTAAATTGACGTCATACTGTTCAGTGGTCGCAGTGTATATCGGAACATACCCTTAGTTTTTGTTACTCATGTGTTACTTACTCTACAAAGAGTACTTTTTATTACTCTATGGACTGTGTGAATGACTGTGGTTACTTGCCTGCTGTGATTTTTACTTTTCTTGCAAAAACTATCACAAAATGGCAAAGAAAACATACGATTTATTGTTTAAACTTCTTCTTATTGGTGACTCTGGTGTAGGAAAAACCTGCATATTGTTTAGATTTTCAGATAACCATTTTACTACTACATTTATATCTACTATTGGTAAGAAACACCTTTATTTTTATACTTTATATCTATTGCAGACATCACACGCGCTGTTATTTCTGAGAAAACTTATAATTTCCCTTCTATATGCATATTACTATGTGCTGAAGTAACACTAATTACCACTAGTAAACTGAGCAATCATCAAAGAAAATGTAGGTATATCTGAAATGCGGGAGGTGCTCTGATAACATTACGACGATACTTTTTTCAGGTATTGACTTTAAAATAAAGACGGTAGAACTTCGCGGTAAGAAAATTAAACTTCAAATTTGGGACACGGCAGGTCAAGAGCGTTTCCACACCATCACAACATCCTATTACCGAGGCGCGATGGGCATCATGCTCGTGTATGATATAACAAATGAAAAAACTTTTGATGATATTGTTAAATGGTTAAGAAATATAGATGAGGTTAGTAAGACATTTTCTTTTAAGCTTGTGTTACATGCTATATTATAAGCCTTTATCAAAATAAATCATAAACCATTATTCATCAAAAAGCTGATGTCTAAAAATCATGAAAGAATTTTGCTAAAAAGGAATACAATGTCATTCAAACATTACACAAGATAATAATAAATCTTCATAGATTATAAAAGATGTAGTTTTCAAAATCTGTTAAAAAATTTTACAAATATTTCCCTCATTTTGGTATTGGATTGCATTTAGTCAATTTAAATAAAGTAGAAATGGAATATATAATTATTAATACATAATTACATAATTAAGGAATACATAATTCTATTGATTATTTCTTGTTTTTAAGCTTAATACAAACCATACTCTAGTATTTTATATGAATATATTTCCTTATATATTGAAGGTTGTTATAGAAATACCTTCATTATTTTATTATATATAATATATTGTATACCTTTATCCTCCAATAGACGTAAAATTCTGCAGATAAAACTATTACAGTGTATAGGTTTCTAGTCTGATATGTAGTTATAAATTTTAAATTAAATTATGCTAAATTATTTTTTTTGAAATTAGAATCCAGTACTATTTTTCTTGCTTAAAAAGGAAGGGTAGCATTATGAAGATGTGAAATAGTTATATGAAATAGTTATAAATAATTAGTGAACCAACTCTCTGTTCCTGTTTACAAAAATGTTTTATTTTTTTTTACAGCATGCTAATGAAGATGTAGAAAAAATGATATTGGGAAATAAATGTGATGCAGAGGAGAAACGAGTAGTGAGCAAAGAACGTGGAGAAGCGGTGAGTTGATTGTTGTTTCCAGACAGCATTAACCTGATACATTTTTCAATAATATTTTTATGAGAAACAGCCTGGTGTTAGGCACACATGCGGACAGTGGAGTCTTAGTAATAGGGTCAAATAGTAATGTTTTTTGGGGAAATTAGCATACATATTAATTAATTTAAAACAGTTTTTTTTTTATTTGTCCGATCTCCTATTTATTTCATATCTACATGGATATGACTAGTGATTGATACATACAGTTTTTGTAAAAAGTTTGATGATGTATTAGGAAAACTATCAGCATTGTCATTCTGTAAGAAACCAGCCTAGAACTCATTGACTAGCTGATAGACTCCTAACCTGGCCCACGCTCTAACTGTTAGAGCATAGAGGTCGAATCAAAGATAAATCTACTTAAAAATTCAACAGCAGCTCTGTGACAGTGCTCAACGATGAGTTTGTGACTATTTTTAAACTAAAGGCTTCAATTTAATGCTTGTTAAATTGAAGGCCTCTTTTATTTTTAGCGTTTCATACCCGAAGGGTAAAACGCAGCCCTTTTACTAAGAATTCGCTGTCCATCTGCCTGTTGTATGTCAGTTGATCTCATGAACCATGATAGATAGATAAATCTTTATTGAACCACTACTATCACTACATTATAAGTTATTGTAAAATATGTAGAAGTAAAATATTATGATGTATTTTTGTTGCGAAGATCCCAAATACAAGTTTCAGATACAAGTATTTAACTACTTAGCTAAGTATTTGAAACAAGGAAGATTACACGACAACTAGACCTGTGACAATATAGGACGCTCCACTCTGCCGCGTCAGGTCGTCATTTACTATTACTAACTTGGGTCCGCGACCTCGTCCGCGAGTTACTTTTAGCAGCATTTACAAAAACGCTATAACAATTATTTATTCAATATATTGTGTTAATTATATTGCATATAAAATTTCGTTATTTGATCTTAGACTAGCTTTTGCCCGCGCCTTCGTCCGCGTGGAATAGTTATTATTATATCTTAAGCCAACTATATGGTCAGGTCGTATTTGGTTCCCACCATACAAATGGTCTTCTACGTAATACTACGTACTCGGCTTCCCGTTTAAAAATGTCATGTGTGGTGCCTACTACGCAATATTACGTATACGCAACATTACGTAGGTTGGCACCCTTAATAATATTATTTATTCTGGACGCCTACCTACGCAATATTGCGTATACGCAAAATTGCGAACGATCGGCACCTTATCCCAACTATCATCCTCCCTCTCATCTTCTGTCTCTTTTTCACCTAGATCACGCCATAATACTCAATCTATTGCATCATACTTAGTGTCGCGCGGTGCGTGCAGTGAGATTCACGTCGCGTCGCATTAGGTTGATTTGTCGCCATGCCACGTGGACGCGGATTGAATCGGCGTATTTTACGTGGTTGTCGGAAAATACGTTCAGGGCGACCGCTACAAAATCATGAAATTGCTGCCGTTCTTTATGAAGAAGACTCGTCAGATAATGGGGATTTTTCTCCGGGGTCCGGAGACGATTATGATCCTGAGCAAGATGAAAATCAAAATGTTTCATCGGAAAGTGATTCGTCTTCTGATCCCGATGAAGACGGACCATCATCAGTGCCGTCACCACCGCCTGGAGTCGAAGGGCCATCATGTGATCCAGAATTTCAGTGGAAAATGGATTCAGCAAGACCACAACGATTTCTGTTTTTAGGGGAACCAGGTATAAAGACCAATTTTACTTCCTCGGCGAGTGCCTTGGCTGATATATTTTTTTCTGAAGCTTTTTTGGGTTCTATAGTGCAAGCAACTAATAATTACGCTCATCGCATGGCTGGTCCTTTACAAAAACATGCACGGTTTAGATACTGGAAAGACACCAATATCTTGGAAATGCGCAAGTTCGTTGGTATGTTGCTATATATGGGATTGACTAGGTTACCTACAATTGCTCATTACTGGAAGATAGATCAACTGTACAACTTGCCACTTTTTAGACAAATCATGAGTAGAAATCGATTTCAAATATTGCTGCGATATTTTCACTTTTCTGAGAACGATGACACATCTACATCAAGGCTTCATAAAATACAACCGATACTAGACAGATTCAATAATATTATGGCTGATCTCTACTATCCCGAAGCTAATCTGAGTATTGACGAATCGATGGTTCTGTGGAGAGGAAGATTGGTTTTCCGGCAGTATATCAAGAATAAAAAACATAAATACGGTGTAAAATTATATGAACTTTGCGAGTCTTCGGGGATAGTCATGAAAATACGTATTTACAAAGGGAAAAATGAACGACCACCACCTGGTGTTCTGCACAGCACGGAAGTTATACTAGATCTAATGGATGGGTATTTAGAAAAAGGTCACACAATATACGCAGACAATTTTTACAACTCCCCGGATTTAACTAGGCGTCTTAGCGAAAAAAAGACATATATATGTGGTACACTTCGGAAAATGCGCAAAAATCTTCCTAAAGATGTCACCAACGCCAAGCTGAAGCGTGGAGAGTTAGCTGCTAAAAGTTGCAACGATATCACTGTTTGCAAATGGAAAGATAAACGTGACGTTATGGTAATTTCAAATAAACACAAACTTCAGCTTGTGAACGTTAGGAACAGAAACGGAAAAGTCTCACTGAAACCTAACATTGTTGCGGACTATAATTTGGGCATGTCTGGTATTGATAGAGGGGACCAGATGGTCTCGTATTACTCTTGCCTCAGAAAGACGCTCAGATGGCATAAAAAATTAGCACTGCACATCTTTGAGGTTTACGTACAGAATGCGCACAGATTGCTACGTTTGAAAGACTGCACATCCAAAATACGGCTCCTAAAGTTTCGGGAAGATTTTGTAAAATATCTACTGGGACTGAACTGTGGCGATATTACTCCCGCAGCTGCAGAAGTACCTGGACCAAATATACCGCGAGTTCAGCCTGAACAAGATCAAGCAAACCCAACTCTGCCTCTGCTGCCTGGGCCAGATGTACCACCTGCATCCCCAGCTGTTCATAAAAGTCGTGTCCCATTGAGAAATTTTCATTACCTAGAAAAGCTCCCGCCTACTGCCAAAAAGGCTGTGCCAGCGAAGCCTTGTCGTGTCTGCACGAAAAATAAAAAACGAAAAGAGTCATCTTTCGTTTGTGCCACTTGCCCGGAAAAGCCTGCCTTGTGTGTTGTCAACTGTTTTTACACTTACCACACTGATCCTCGTTTTGCATAATTTTATTTCAAAATGTTGTTCGTAGAAGTTCCTGTTTATTTTTATATAATTATCGATCTCATTATGGATCTCATTGGATGCCTAAAAAACTATTTTTATGTCATTATAAAACTTCACTTTTCGGCCTCAAAGTGCCTAAGAATATTTGTAATTTGAAAAGTTTTCAAATAATAAAGTTACTTTTTTTCTATGTCTTATTTTATTTGAGATGCCAACGAACCTAAAAACGTCTTTTGCAGGAGGCCTAATAACACAAATACTCATTTAAACTGTAAGAAAGTCCTACGTTGTATTACGTAGTTGGCCCCTGAGCATCACTAGTACTACGCAATATTGCGTAACAATGAGGAACTTTCATACATACTTTAATTCACTATTTGAACCCTATTATCATAATAAAGAAGCTTTCGAGGTAGTAGCCAAAGTTCAGCGAGGCCATCATCCAGCAAATGTCATGGTTTGGTGGGGTGTCTCCTACCAAGGGGATACAAAACTCCATTTTTGCGAAAAAGGAGTGAAAACTTCAGGTAAAGTGTATCAAGGTACCGTGTTAGAAGCGATGGATAAACCTCTCAGCAACACTTATTAAAAAAAAAAGTGTGGACATTCCAACAGGATTCAGGGCCGGGTTATAAGGCGCGCACTACCCAAATTTGGCTTCAGCAAAATGTTCCAGACTTCATAAAGGTTGATGATTGACCTTCGGCTAGTCCGGACTTAAACCCTTTGGACTATAAATTGTGGTCTGTGCTAGAGGACATGGCCTGCTCTAAACGTCACCCAATATTAAGTCGCTAAAGAAATCTTTGGAGGCACGAGTGACCAAGTTTCCAATGGAAACCGTTCGTAAATCAACAATGACCTGACCGTTTAAAAGCGTGCGTTAAAGCTAAGGGTGGACACTTTGAATAACTAAATTAGTACGTAAACATATCTTTTTCTCTCTACATAATCACATATAAAACTTAATTTTTTTTTTTATTATCTGATATTTTCGGTTTGTAACAGAACTTATGGCTAGACTAGGTATTTCTAGAACCACATAGCACATATCGATCACAATTGAAACAAGTCGATCAAAATCTATATACAATCTCGATCGGTGAAATAAGATTTAAGAGGTGTTAAACTGTGATGTGATGTGAATAGCTCTTCGTCGTGTCGTGCGCTTACACCGAAACCTTTGAATATTTAATTAATTTGACATCGCCTCGTGCTACAGGAAGGAAGTTATTTTATCCCTATTAATATCATAAATAAATAATAAAGTAACTATACTTATATCGGGTATGTTTTCGCGTCTGAACCGTTTTAATGGAATTTAGACTTAACACCGAATAATTTAGTAGCGCAACTAAGAACAAAATCGAATCCATTTGCACTCAGAGACGCACGCATTTACGTGGATTTTCAGGGGGTCTCGAGGTGCACTCACTCAGTTGCACTTACCACGGCAAGATTACCAGACGTATGGATAGTGAAAGGTTACAATGAAAATATCGTGTCACTAGTGGACGCCCGCGACTTCGTCCGCGTGGAAGTCGGTATCCCGTGGGAGTGAGAAGTTTTCCCAGTAAAAAGTACCCTATGTGTTATTCTGATGTATAACCTATATTGCTGTAAAGTTTTATCCAAATCCGTCCAGTAGTTTTTTCGTGAAAGAGTAACAAACATCCATACATCCATACTTACAAACTTTCGCCTTTATAATATTAATAGGATAAACGGATTTGAAATTTGACGTCTTCAAACGTCAACCTTTCGTTACTACTTGCGTGATTAGTTTCTTTATAATTTCTTTACAAGGTTAGAATATTATTTTATTGTTTGATTAAAAAAAAAATATATTATTTAATTTTCTGAATTAGGAAATACTTCAAAATAAACTTTTTTCTCAGGTCTTTTTAATCTCAAAAACCCGAATGTCTGTAAATTAATATGTCAATCAAATAATTAATTAATTAACGAGGAAGTATTTAAAAAATAAAAATTAGTTCTTGAAATCATACTAGATGTCACTCGCGTGTTTTGGATTTTGTCTATGATATTCATTCAAATTTTGTTTCTGACGTTATAAAAGTATATTGAGTATCGAAAATTAATAAATATGACATCGTTTTGTGTTTCTTATAATATCTAACTATCAAACTAATTTTAATTTATTTATATCGTAAGTTTAAGTTGTTTATTATGTTACGTGTAAAGGAACGATGTTTGGTTTATACGTCAACATTAGTGATGAGCCAACTTATTGGTTGCTCGTAACTTTCATTCGAATTCAGGTTTAGAATTAAGAACAAAAGCGGAGCGCAGTATTCAGCTTGTATTTGTATGTGTCATTATGCATCCACAAAACGAATGATATTAATATAAATATCAAAATCAATTCAGTCTAGGCTGTTTCATATTACTTGTGAAAGTCGAAAACTTTACCAATGGTTCGCCAAACTAAGGCGGACTGATAAGAATCGGCAAGAAACTCAGCAAGGGCTGCTTTTTTAATTTCAACTATACTATATTTGAGGGAACATAACCACCTAACGCACACGACACCACCGCAGAGATTCTAAGAGAGCATGACTACTCTAGGTACTTAGTAAATAATATATTTCAATAAAAGTGATTTCTAGAGTAGGTTGTGTCAGTCTATTATTAACAATATTATTTTAAGAACCAAAAAGCACAAACCCACAGCACGAATTGACTTAACACATGGCTCGACGTCCGCCGTCGATATGCAAGATCAGTAGCAATAGTATAATAACTGCACGTGTCTTTGTGATTTTGAAATTTAAAGTTATAACCTTGCTGTTCGTTTAGAACAGACGTTTCTTGCTGATTGCTGAATGTTAATTAAGATGATTTAATTTAGAAAATTAGATTTAATAACTGATCATAGTTTTTTAAAGTCTTAATTTCGAAAGCACAAGTTATTTGCACGTTACTACGAATACATAGTATATTTAATACATATCGGGTAAGCGGATTTTTTATTATAATTATCGTTTTTATGACTTTTGTTGCTGATCAATATACCCTATTCATTCATTCACCATACATAATATAAAGATATTATCGAGACTTTATGTAGTTTAGTTGTTGTAAGTTCAACAAACAACTAATAGCAATAAAACTAACTTATCTAGTTGTTATTGTTTTCAGAACTTTTGTTAAATATTAAAATAATAATTCCTAGACCTACTATGGTATAAGTATTTTATTTATAAAAACTATTTGGCGGTATAATATTGTATACCGTAGCTAAATGCCACTTTTAATTATATCACTGCATTAATTCAATTGATTTCCATAAATTTTAAAAAACCTCTGTGCTCACTTCCATTATGTTTGTTTCCATTTTCCTCTATACAAATAAAAAAGAAATTTATTCAAAGATTTACTTTGTATTAATCGAGTTGCGTTTGCATAACTCGAACTGATTAAATTTCAACTCGATATTAATTCGAGTTATCAGATCCATAACAACACTGACAATTCTATTCTCTTTGGTTTAACGTTATGAATTGACGTTTAGATCCAACAATTTTGCTGCCATCTAGTGACATAAATTTTTGTAGTTTCTTTATTTTTTTTTAAATACTTCCTCATTCATTCATTTAACAGCCAAATTTAATTATAAAGCGTGCAGAACAGACAAAAAACTTTTTAGTGTGCAACTTAAAGTACAATAGACTGGTAATAACAATCAATAAAAATCTTTTAAAATTTCAATGTTATTTTATTATGTACTTACTTACTAGAAGGCAACCCTAATGGTCCGATGCAGCGTAGGTATTTATTCCCAGAAAGGGCTTAAGTTTTGCTACTGTATTATTCTGCGCTAGAAGGGTTAGTGATGCGACTCTAGTTCTGTTTTAACTCGAGTCACTCAAGTGAATTGGTTGAACTCGTACTCGAGTGAAAAAAAAAATCACTTGAAGTCATGCACTCGAGTTATCGTGTCAACTCGCTATTTTAATTTGTTAATCTATGCCGCTATTTTTTTATTTTCAAGATTAGTTAAATTTTAAATATTTCAAAACTCTTTTAATGTGTATTATATTTATATTTGTCCATGTTTGTTATATATATTTTGTTATGTAATTCGAGTGACACGAGTCACATCACTAAGAAGGGTAAACGTAACGATATCTAAGATGGCGGACGGTTGCAGATAGCGCGCGAGCACGGCATCCGGTTCATGGAGACGTCGGCGAAGGCTAACATCAACATCGACCGCGCGTTCTCGGAGCTGGCCGAGGCCATCCTCGACAAGGCCGCGGGCCGCGACGCCGACCCCGACCACGCGCGCATCGCCGTCGAGCGCCGCCCCTCGCGCGCGCCCCCCGCCAAAGCCTGCTGCTCCTAAATTCGTCACACATGTAGTGGATTCTATCATTTATTCAATAAACAATATCACGAGGGATAGCAAATATCGATACAATGTTTGTTTACCTGAGGCTTACCGTACCGAAGCAGAGATGTTTCGGTGCTTCCACACTTTTGTTAAGATCAGTTTGTAATTATGCGTTCGCCTTTGTAGATTAATGTTTTCTTATTATCCATACGATCGTTCGCTATTATCGCCCTCGTTGCGATTCTATGTTAGTTTGTATAGTGCTTTTAAACCGCTCGTTATTTTATCCAGGCTGCCTGGGAGACGGGAATACCGGTAGATTATTTTCGGCCAGGTACTATAATATATAGCATGTGTAATTAACTTCTACTCGTAAGTGTTCATTTGAGAGCTCCACGTGGCGGTTATATTAAGCTTTTGTATAGTGTTATTCACGAACGGTGACATATCTGCGGAAGCAATACGTTCTCCCTGCATTTATGGACGACGCACACCCCGCGGCCGAGCGGCGGCAAACTAAGCTCGGTTACTTATGGCTTGTTCGGAATCGATGTCTATTGCAGCTGTATATCAAGTTACAGTAATATCTCAATTTTTCCCAATTGATTTTAAACTACTTAGTATTTAAAAGTGAAGAAATCCCCAATCTCAAGTTGTCTGTGGGGATAGATAGTACGCATTGCTCTGAAACTAGCCTAGTGTCTCTTATAAAACGGACAATAATATATATATTATGTGAGCATCGAAAGAACGATACGTATCGCTATCCATAGAACTCTATCATTTCTGCTTAGTTCTGCGTTTTGTTGTACGAGACGTTATAGGTCACTGATCTCGACCCGTACAACAATAGGCAATACTCCGCGGAAACGATATAAAGTTCTATTGATAGTAGCGACACATATCGTTTATTCTCACCGTTCACATAATAGTTTAGGTCATTGTCCGTTTTCCGACTGCTCTAGATTCGATCTACAAATAATGCTCCGTGTATCGGTCTGTATATGAAGTGAGCGGTATTTAGTATTATTCTCATAATAACTTTGCCTGACCTGTCGGCTCTCGCTACCCTGTGCAATGTTTGCCGCGCGCTCACTCGACGCAAGACTCCGACGTCCTAGTGGACGATCGACTAGCCGCGCCTGGGCTATATATTATCGATCATGAGGATTTGGACCGTTACAAACCATAGGTATTTTATAATATACTCTTTAATATACGTTGATCAATAAATAATATTCTATTTTATCGTACGGTGTATGTGTTTCGTCGGTTTTTACCCGCTTTTATAAATAAACATCGGCATATTGTATATTATGTTCATATTAAACTACTGTCGTATGAAGTTGGTGTTTCATTTCTGACCTCCTCCCTGAGACCTTGTGATCTGTTCAACGTGATGCAAAACTCGTTGTAGACGATTCCACTTTGGCCACTGCATTTGGATTGCTACAGATGACAAGGCCGTCCGACACCCGTAAAGTTATCCAGTTCAGTTCCATCAACTGAATAGCTTCACGGACTGAACTGAAGTCAATTGATAGGTAGTATAAAATGTAGTTTTCGTTACTTACTAAGTTTCGTAGCTTCATTCTTTGTTATTTATATTTAACATATTATTGTATCTAAATAGTTCCAAATGAAGACGTGACACAAGATAAATTGATGATCAAACGAACTTACCCAGTGAAGTTCGATCTAATTATGGGAGAAGTTAACTATAAGTCGCTTCGAAAGAAGCTGCTCATATATTTTTGACCGAACTTATTTTGGCAAGGTCGTTTGATCATCAATTACCTCGCCATGACTTCGAAGCTGTTATTGGTGTGTATAAACTTCTAAATTATTACACATATCATAATACATCGTATACTGAAGATGACTCGGGCGGACATCCCTCCCCTTAGTCCGCCACTAAGGGGACTGTCACTGTATATATATTACTTACATATATCCAGTTTCATAGTTTTAGCAGTCCGCCACTGCTATCATAACATCTTAAGGGATAAAGTAGTGATGTGTGAAGCGTCTGCTTGTAAATAGGACGGTCAATGTTGTGTTATTCAGTTGTTATCAGTGTGTATTGTGTTGTGAGGCTATCGGTGGGGTCAGGGCTCGGGCCGACCGCGTCCGTTCACAGTCGGCACAGTCATCACCTAATACTCTAAGGGAAAATACATAAGTTTAATATTTTTACCATGGGGGAATACTTACTGCATATTTGTTTATTAGGGTTGAGTTTCCGATTAGCAGCATGTACTGACCGTAAGTACTCGCACAATTATTTTGTTTCCAAACTAGCGCGTTAATGTTGGTCACACGACATAGGAAACTGACCAAAATATAAATATTGATAAGATATTATATTTATGAGTAAGAATCGGAGTTATTAGTAGTTTCATGATTATTCTGTTATTTTCCTGTTATCCAATGTTATTTCCTGTTATCCAGGTAATTTCTAATACGATGTACAGTTAAATCATAATAATGAAAAAGATGAGAAACAATGTTGTTTCTGCATAAAGTAAACGGCTCTATAGAGAATTTCACTATACACCTGAACTGAATACCATGGCCATATACTGACCAGGGTGACTGTTTCAAAAATGTTAAACTGCCTTTCACTACATAGAAATCTACCAAACCCGTCTCTTTGCATATTTAGAGTAGGTACCTACAGTGCGACACAAACTGTAGGAGCGCTTATTACCTATTCCACAACCGCCAACTCTAAGTTGAGAGAATATTCTCTAAAACATCTCATTCGTGGATCGAATTCCGGACCTCGGAGACGGCGACACCTTGAAACCAGCGTGCGAGCTACTCTGCTACGGAGGTACGCACAATATAACCTCTATGTAAATAAGACTACAAACAAATACAACCGATTCTGTGACGTCCGTGGTCGATAGAGAGATCTCAGGGTTCAGGGATCATGTATAATTTTTTGATGGTGTTTTATTATTTACTGTAAACTTTTTACTAGATTATATCTATTAATAGTCAGCACTGCTACTATCAGGTGAACCGGGTAATTAACAATTTATAGCACAAATTGTTATTAATTAACTAATTGACATACAAGGTATCCAACGGAAAGGTTCCAGTGAACGCGTACGCGTAAAATCACCAACTTTCAGTCAGTCAGTGAGAATAATTAAAAAAAATCGATTTTGTACAAAGAAATACGTTTTAATAAATTGTAATTATGCATGGGAGAACAACATCACATTTTAGATATTCAATCCCAACCAAAATGTGAATTTTGAATTATTGGAGGTAATCTGTGACCTGACACCTCGCTTGCCCCCATCTTAATTAAGCCTTTAGATATTTTACTCAATTGCCAGTATTATATGAGTATACGTGAGACCATCTTTTCTTTTTTTATTTTATTAACAGACTTCAAAATCCAAAAGGAGATTATATGTTCGCAAAACAAAATACGCTTTTCACCAGATATCACCTAAATATTTAGATGATATGTATTGTATTTTAAATTCATTCAAAATCCGAAAGGAGTATTTTCTATGTTCAAGGAGTATGTATATTTTTTCTCTATCAAAATAGCTGCCTCCCTGCGACTTAGCCTGCGTTAATTACAGCCTATGTCCAAAGCGTATTACCCTATAGATGAATTTTATAAATCAATCCAATAGTTTCGAAGCCTATCCAATGCAAACTATATTTAATATTTTTAAATATAAAAGCATATAATATAATCAAACTCGATCGAGTGGATTTTTAAGCGTTTTGTATTAATAATAATTTTCAGTATGGCATTGTGAATGCTAAATTAATAAACTTACTACATAATTGCAATAAATTACTAATATGATTGAAATATTAATCGATCAACGTCCAAGACTGCTGCAAGCTTCTTAATAATATGTGAGTTTATAGCGAGCGTTTCGCCCCCAGCGGCATGCGTGATAGACTTGGAATGTGCGGAGTGCATGCCGGACAACATGCCGATGGTGACGTCACACCGCGCGGTGAACGGCTCCGTGCGCGTGCCGAGCGGGGACGAGGCGCTGCTGTCGTGCGGCGGCGGCAAGTTCCTCGAGTACCCGCTGCGGGACTCGCTCGCCGCCGTGTGCGAGGGCGGCCGCTACCGGCTGCGGCACGACCGCTCGCTGCGGCATCTGCTCGACCTCGGCTGCCAGGAGAGCGTGCTGGAGGACGTGCTGCACCAGGTCACCGTTTGCCGTGTCTCACTCTAGTTTAATGTTAAGCATTTCACGTCTCAGTCTCAGTTTCACGAGTGACGACCGCGATCTGAAGACCGATTCTGCTATTGTTTACTAATAATCGCATTTCAATACAATCTAATCTCAACTACTTGCATTTTACTATTGTATTTTCTACCTAAAGTCCGATGTTAATGAAATTGCTGATTTATTGTAATGTTCCTTAAATTGAATAAGAATCTTCATGGTTTGAGGTTTTCGGAAGATTTTTTTTTCAAATGGTTTCTATCAACCCAAGCGAACCCGACCACCTCTCAAATTACAAAATTGCACATGGGCAAGAACAGCTCAGGAAAGAGTAGATGCTTTTGCCAACCACCTATCTAATGTTTTCAAACCAAACGAAGGTACAAATAGTGAAGATCCAGAAATTGAAGCCATATTAAACCAAGATCTACAGATGGACCTGCCTTTAAAAACAACAAACCCTAAAGAAGTTTTAAAGTATATTTTAAAACTGGATAATAAAAAAGCACCTGGTTTTGATGAAATATGTAAGGAAGTCTTAGTCCAACTGCCAAGAAAAGGTTTAGTGTACCTATCGACACTTTTTAATGGCATCATGAGAACCGGCCACTATCCAGGTATTTGGAAGGTTTCTGAAATTATAATAATACACAAGGAAGGAAAACCCATTAATGAATGAACCATATATAAATGAAGGATTTCGACAAGAACACGGAACAGTGCAACAAGTACACAGAGTTGTAAATCAAATAAAAAAGTCTCTGGAATTAAAAGAATACTGTTCATCTGCGTTCCTCGACATAGAACAAGCTTTTGACAGAGTCTGGCACAATGGCTTACTCTGCAAAATCAAAAGATCGCTGCCACATACCTTCTTCGGTATAGTAAAATCATACCTTTCTGAGAGAATCTTTCACGTAAGAGACGGGGAATACTCATCCAATTTCTATAAAATACGGGCTGGAGTACCGCAGGGATCGGTGTTGGGACCCCTTTTGTATACCATATTTACGTCGGATCTTCCAGAAACCACTGGAGTATTAACTGCTACATTTGCAGATGACACTGCCATTCTTGCTAGTAGCAAGAATCCAGAGGAAGCAAACCAGCTTCTGCAGCAGGAGCTGGACAAAATAGAAAAATGGTTAAAGAAATGGAGAATCAAAGCTTCTTCTTCGAAATCTGTTCATGTCACATTTACCCTTCGTAAAGGAGACTGTCCACCTGTAAAATTGGAAGGAAAAATTCTACCGCACCAGGATACAGTTAAATACTTGGGTATGCACTTAGATCGTAGACTAACATGGAAGAACCACTTGCTTAAAAAAAGAGACCAAATTAACATCAGATACAGGAATCTGCAATGGCTACTTGGACGAAACTCTGTGCTGAGCATTGATAACAAACTCCTTATTTACAAGGTTGTCTTAAAACCAATTTGGACATATGGTATTCAGCTGTGGGGATCAGCCTGTAACTCCAGTATAGAAATTATTCAAAGAGCACAAAATAGCATCTTAAGAAATCTATCTAATGCGCCATGGTTCATAAAAACAACTGAACTCCATAATGAACTTGGAGTTTGCACAGTCAAGGACGAAATAAGGCAATACTCGGCCAAATACAAAGAGCGCCTTCTTACTCATCCAAATTGCCTGGCAGTACAATTGACCAGCGTCAACTACCCCAAGAGGCTTAATCGACAACACATCATTGAATTATCACTTTGATCTTGAAATGATAGAAAACAAAGAATGGAGAGATACTCAATGGAGTATTGTTTCTGCAAGATAAAAACGCTCACATCACATCTGCTTATAGTCAATAGACTGAAATGGTTTCTATGATGTACTTTTTTAAAAAATGCGAAACGTTTGAATATCGACTTTCAATTGTTTTCGTTATTCAATATAGACAAGAAAAATAGATATTGCGAAAATGCGAGTGATCTTTGAATACTAGTTCCGACGCGGAAGGAACGCGGTAGAATCGGCACGCAATATCAACGTTTCATTCGGAAAGAGGTCTGCTAATGAACTCTCCGTGCGATTTTTGTTTAAACGCTTTCGCGATGGAATCAATGGCGAAATGCAAGGACGGTCGATTCTTTTGAGATGCGATTTCAACGGAAACCATTAACAGCGCGGGACGGCCGCGCGTATCCGAACCGAAGCGGGGACAGGTTCCACCGAGAAGTCGAAATTAGAAACGCATTCGAGGTAACCCGGAACCGTTCCCCGGCAGGTGCCGGAGTGTGCGGCGCCGCTGCAGGGGCGCGCGTACCTCGTGCAAGAGCGCGGCGGGCGCGTGCGGCACCTGGCCGCGCTCTGCTACGACCCGGACCGCGGCGTGAGCGCGCGCGCGCAGCCCCGCCCCCCGCGCCTGCCCCCGCACGAGGACGCGCGCGCCCCCCTCTCGCTGCTCGGCAACTTCAACCACATGTTCGACGCGCGCACCAGGCGCGACGCCGACCGCCTCTACTCGGACGACGCGCGCCTGAACCGGCGCCTGCGCGAGCTGCTCCGGCCCGGGCGCGTCGCGCTCGCGGGCCAGCAGCTGACGGCGGCCGGCCTGCTCGCGCCCGGCTACTTCGACGACCAGGAGGCGCGCGTCGTCGACTTCGCCTCGAACAAGGTCGCCGTGTGGCGGAGCGTCGCCGAGGGGAACCTGCGGCACGTGCGGCGCGACGTGGCGGCGCTGCGGCGGCGCGCGCCCGACGTGCAGATCCACGCGGGCACGCACGGGGTGCTGGCGGTGCGCGGGGCGGGGGCGGTGCACCTGCGGGGCGGGGGGCGGTTCCCGGTGCCGCGCTACGTGTGGACGGCGGCCGTGCGGGGCGCGCGCGGGCTGGCGCTGGTGGTGCTGAACGACCCGCTGGTGGCGGTGAGCGAGGTGCGGCGCGCGGTGTTCTGCGAGAGCGTGTGCGGCCGCGCCCGCTGGCTGCTGCACCTGCACCGCAACAGGAACTACGAGGTGCCGGCGGCGGGGCTCGTGTTCTGCTGCTCGCTCGCGAACTTCACCGCGCTCGTGCCGGAGCTGCCGGAGGCTCTCGTCCGCGACGTGCCGCCCGGCGAGGAGGGGCTGCTGCTCGACTCGCCGGTCTGACCCCCCCGGCGTCCGGGGGACGCGGCCGCCCGGCGAATCGGAAGCTTTCATTTCTGAATCTCGTCGGAAGTCGGGCGGCCTCGGCGGTGGCGTCGTGATCGGTGGACCTGTACGTGTTCCGCGGGAGCTCGGGCGGTGGTTATTCTCGGGGGTCCCATTAAAATTTTACCAAATTTAAGAAATTCGATGTACCTATTTTTAACTACTGACAGATGTAAATATTTTCTGAATATAGTAATTATAGATTATTGAAATTCAACGTATACTTTCAGTTTCTTCGTAGTATAAAACAAAACGTTATAGGTACTTACGCATTATCGATATTAATAATATACGGTATAATGCATCTACGGAGTCAAAATTCACCATATGGCCCATCGATCCTCTAAAAACATGCATAGTTCCTAAGCATAGCGGTTATGGTCTTGCTCAAATTTTGATTGATTTTGCGTCTCTTAACAATTTCGCTCAATTGAATAATGTCATCAATACTAATAATAAAGTGCTCGACTTGGTCTTTTGTGACTATGGCGACTGGGTAACCGTTTCTAAGGCTGTTAATGCTCTTTCGAAGGTCGACACTCAGCATCCTCCAATTGTCATTGACATCAAATTTGCAAAGAAAAGTTATAATCTTGATAATAATGCTGAAGTGTTGAAATATAATTATTATAAGGCTGATTACGAATTAATTTTGAACGATTTGAATAAAATAGATTGGATTTACGAGTTCGACGTTTGTGCGGATGTGAATGAAATGGTAGACATTTTCTATTGTCATCTTTATACAGTTATAAATAAATATGTTCCCAAATCTGTAAGAAGGAGTAATAAATATCCTAATTGGTTTCCAAAGACTCTGATTAGATTGTTGAGTGATAAACGTAAACTTTTAAAAAAATACAGAATCCACAAGAACCCTCTGGATCGCATTTCTTTGCAATTATTAAGTCAACGCTGTGCAGCACTAACTACTCGCTGCTATAAGAAATATATAAATAATATTGAGCAGTGCATAGGAAGTAATCCCAAGTATTTTTGGACATATATGAAGAGTAAGCGAAATTCAAACTCTCACTATCCCTCAGAAATGAGCTATAACAATGAAACTGCTATGAATGGGTCAGATATCTGTAACCTTTTTGCGAGAAATTTTAGTTCTGTATACTCTACTGATAATGATTGTGATGATTCCCTAAGAAAACCCTTGCCTAATGGCAGCATTACGCCTTGCAGTATCTCTGGTTTACATCTTACTATGAAGTCCATTCGAGTTCGGTTAAAAAGACTTGATAGTTCGAAGGGTGCTGGACCTGATGAAATACCTCCTTACTTCATTATTTAATGTGCCGATAGTCTTGTTTTCCCTTATACGTGATTTTTAATAAGTCTCTGAACTCTGGTCAATTTCCCAATCTCTGGAAAGTTGCTAAAGATGGGCACATCCATAAAAGTGGCGATAAAAACAATATTATAAATTATAGACCGATTTCTATTTTATCGATAATCCCGAAAGTTTTTGAAGCTTTAATATGCCCGCATTTTTATAACCATATAAAACACCTAATTACAGATCGGCAACATGGGTTCTTAAGGGGTAGATCAACCAATACAAATATCTTAACTTTTACCAATATGATTGTGGAAAGTATGGACGCTCAACTGCAGACTGATGCCATCTATACTGATTTCTCTAGGGCGTTTGATAAAATCAGCCACAAAATACTGTTATATAAGTTGTCGAAGTATGGATTCTGTGGATCTCTTTTGCTTTGGCTGCAGTCATATCTGTTTAAACGTTCTCAGTATGTTGTTGTCAAAGGCTATAAATCTCATTCATACTTTACTACGTCAGGTATAGCTCAGGGTTCACACATTGGGCCGTTGCTCTTCAATATTTTCGTAAATGACATTGTCGATGTAGTCAAGCACAGTGAAATATTTTTGTATGCGGATGACCTTAAACTGAGTAGGGCGATACGTTGTGCGGGGGATGCCAAGCTATTGCAATTGGACTTGGATGGGTTAATGGATTGGTGCAAATACAATAATATGTCTTTTAACATTAAGAAATGTTACCATATTAAACTGACCAGAAAATCCAATATACTGGAAACAAGCTACAAAATAGATAATATAACTCTTGAGGAGGTAGATACTATTCGTGATTTAGGCGTTATAATAGATTCCAAACTAACGTTTATACCTCACATCAATGATATTGTTGCTAGGGCCTCAAGAGCTCTTGGATTTATTATAAGAAATGGCAAAGTATTCAAAAACCCAGTGACGAAGATAATTATTTATAATAGCTTTGTTAGAAGTGTGCTGGAGTACTGCTCGGTGGCTTGGTCTCCTCAGTACTGTGTTCATCAACTGCGCATTGAAAGAATTCAGAAACGCTTTACGCGACATCTTGCATTTAGAAGTGGTTTAAATGTGAATCGCGGTAGCTATAGAGAAAGACTTCGTTACTTTCAAATGGATAGTCTTATTCAAAGGAGGAATATGCTGGACCTAACTTTCCTGTACAAGATTGTTAGAAGTGTAGTGGATTGCCCTCAGCTTCTAAGTGGGATCAACATTAGGGTCCCTCGCAGACCGCCGCGCTGTCCGGTCTTTGGCAAGCCATTTCGCCCGCACTAACATATTGGCACATGCTGCGGTGTGTCGCTTGCCTGATGCTTACAATAAATTGCCGGGAGTTGTTGACATTTCGAACGACGGTCTCGGAGTTGTTGAGAGATGCGTAGCCTGTTGTGTTTTTAGGGATATTTTTGCTACTGTTGGGTACTGTATTTTTGAAAGCATGATGTGGCCGCCTTCAATAGAATTTTACAATTTAGTATGTTTAACTATGTGATCTTGAATGTAAGATTTATTGTAATTTTTCACGAGAAATAATTTATCTCTTACTATTGTCAAGTGACGTCACGAAAGTGTTATTTACGCAACGTTCCAATGTATTAGCACATTGCGGGACTTATAAGAATTAGCAAAGTAATATTACAGTAATATCAAAGTATTATTGCTCAAATAGGTGGTGGTAAACACCAGAGCTGTTTGCGACAGTAACTAACAAACTGAAAATCTAAGGCATCAGATATAGAAAATATCGCTTTAAAAATTTTCCTATCGTCTTCGAAACAGAGTCAGTGATCTACAATTATGAAATATTGTAGATCACTGTAGATACAATTATGAATATTAAAATTAAAAGCGGATCTAGAAGCGACCCTTGAGGTACACCACTAGGCACAACAACTTAATTAGAGATATAATTATTGTTAACAACAGCCTGAGATCTAATAGAAATGTATGATATAAAACATATATAACTGGAAGTGTCGTAAAATAAATCTATAAGAAAATCTCATCTTCGTCAGCCCTTTTTACGTCCCCACTGCAGGGGCTCAGGCCTTACTCGGGATGGTTAAAGAGAATGGACAAGGACCCTCCACGCTGGCCCAATGCGGATTGTAGGGTATTAACGACTGCAAATACAGCCAGGACAATTAATTTCGATGGTAAATAGCTTTTAGTGAGACTGTAAAAACTTGGGTGTAATGGTGTAATCATAGATCGGGGTTTAAGCTGAGGACCATAATTGCAAACTGTCAGTCGCAAGCTGTATGCTTCTGCTGAATCATTAAGGAGGTTACGTAATTTTTTTTGCCGACTACCACTAAAATTACTCTAGCTCAATATATTACTTAACTACGCTGATACCAGTTATCTTGATCTTACGGAAGGCCAACTTAATAAACTTGAGCGACTTTAAAACTTCTGTACCTATTAGATTTATATTTGGATTACGTTAATATGATCATATATCTCAATTTCGCACTCGGCTCAAGTGGCTTCCTATTCGTCTTCGCCGAAATTCGGAATTTTCTCTATGACATCTTTGATATCATCGGAAAACCTGATACGCGAAACTCCTCTCCATAACACTACCTTTTATGATGGCTCCTTCACCGTCCAAGCTGCACGCTTTTTGGAACGCTCTTCCGTCTTCCATAAGACGGGCACAATCAATCACCATCTTCAAATAATTGGTAAAAAAACCATTATTTGTTTTTGTAATTCAATGATGACTAAAACCCTTTATCGTTTCACTAAAGTATATTATTAGTATATATCTTATGTATGTATTTATGTTTATATTATCTATATTAATGTATCTTTACTAAATGTTACTAATTTATCTTCGAATTTACGTACTCTTAGTCTACACCTCCGTTTTTCATTCCTCTCAATCCAATGGTTGTATGGTAGAAATGGCTCTTAGCGATAAAACCGCCAATTATCGTGTTAAGTTTAATTTCAAAATTTCATGTACTGTTAAAGATGGTGTGACTATAAATTATTATTATTATAATAATCCGAATCATAATAAATTTTAGTTAAACCCGTCTAATATTGCAAATAGCATCCTTTCTCAACAGCTTTCAAAGCTAATCTAATGCTTAATAATCTTTTGCCTTTAATAACGATATCTTGCAAAAGAACGTCGCAAACATTATCACATAACAAATAGTTGTACAATAGAGAAATCGGTGTATACTTTCCTAATGATAGATTGAAAGGGATAGCGCTAGATTAATCCGCAACTGCTCTTATTTAAACGGTTTCTTTTAATGTTATCCAGTCGTATGTTGTCAAAGAAACAAAATTATATTCGTGTGTATTATATATTATAAGTGTTATTTTCACAATTTAAAACAGTCTAACAGAACTAAACCTAATAATTTAATATAATTTGTGCAACAGAATTGGTACCGAAGTTGTGGTCAATGAATATTCTAAAACAACTTTTCTTCAGAAAACTAAACCAGATTTAAGAAACTTCGGACAGTTAATAGCATTAGCAGTAAATTCTTGCCTCTATTTCATGAATTTTATACTGTAAATAAATTATTTTAGACGTCGATTTTAGTTATTAAAAAAAATAAAAATTCGGAGATGCGATCGAAAGAGTTTATTAAAAAAGATATACAGGTAAACTATGGTCTCCTTCCCCCTTAATCCTTTTCGGCGATGGCGGTCAAGTGTCTGTCGATTTCACTCTCGGTGAGCACTCTGCGAAAGATAGTTTGGATTATTTTCATTCTCTCTACTTCCTACAGTTTCTCAATCACCGCTATATGTGAAAATATTAAATGTACAAATAATACTTTGTTCACGTTGTTTATTTTTACTCTATAAATTGAATAGCTATATTATTAAATTTATTTATGTGTCGCAGTCTGCCGGTGAAAATGGCCATTCCATCAGACGAATAAGCGGACTAAATTTCGGTCGGGCGAATAGATCCGTTGACATCATATCGCAAACAAAACGAAACTAGCATCGTGAAGATTTAACAATAACGGGAGCGTGCAGGCACCTGAAGTTGGGGTTGTCCTTGGTGACCACGCCCACCTCCAGCTCGTGCGGCTTGAAGTCGACGGCGAGCACGTGCGCCAGGCACGCCACCGCCAGCTGCACCGCCGCCTCCGCGCCCTCCGCACCCCCCGCACCACCCTCCGCGCCGCGCTTCTTCAACTTCTTCTCCAAGTACGCGTTCGCGTCGGTCGTCTGCGCAACGTTACATCACACATGCACTCACATAGAGAGAGGTTTTGAGCTGCCCGTTCCCCGGAATCCGGCGGGTGCAGCGTGACGAACTCGAGGAACGCTTCGTCTACGCTGACTCTACACTTTTGTTGGGTCAATAGTGTGATATCGTCCGGGCGCACCCGGCAACGGCGACGTTTGGGTGTAGACGAAAAGTACTCGAGTTCGTCGTGCACTGCACGCGGCAGATGCGATTTGCGAGAAATCTAGTGTTCTGGATGACTCTGGATGAACGGATCGATAATTTATATTTCAGAGGAATAAATTGATAACCGGAAACGATGACGTATTACCTACAACCCTTTTTTATAATATGTTTTTATTCTATCTAAAATTATCTAAATCTATATACATAGCAACAACAGCGATGTCTAATATCACAGCACAGCCCCCACAACGTAACCGGGAACGTGTTTGTATAGTATCAGATATTATCACTTGCATGGAGCGCACGGAAGTTCAACGTTGTCATAGTCAGACACATACAAATGTTCCCCCTCTACACTTATCAAACTAGGAACTGAATCTCAGAATTTAAATATGATGATGGTTTAAAACTAACATAAATATGGAACTCATTTTGATCTGTTACTGGTAATAATTGAGCTTCAAAATAAAAATGCCTTTCTATTTTATGATGTATTAAAAATCATGAAACAGAAATGCAGATTGTTTTATACTCAGTGGAAAATAAATATAATTATATTATTGTTAACATAATCATACAAAATACAAGTGTTATTAATACTATGTAAGTTTCGTTTTACTTAAAAGAAATATCAGATCATAACAAAATTCCTAAATATACTAAGTAGATTGAAATTTGTTTGTTACCTTTGCTCCCACTGCCACTGCCTTGTACGAGCAGTAATATCCTGAAGGATCAGTCTTGTATACACATGGTCCTGCCTCGTCATCATATGCGATCAACATCATACCTAAAAAAGTGTATAATTTATATGATATTGTATATCAGAAATTTATTATGCCAAGAAATAAAAGAAAAACACTTACTGCATCCCAATGGTCTCATTTCAGCATTTTGTGTGTAGACCTGTGAGATGTCTGCTATACGTCGGCACAGGATATGGATCGGAATCTCAGTACCATACTTGTACTGCCAGTTGGCAGCTTCATAACGAGCTCTCTGCACTTGAGATCTGCTATCAGCTGAGGATTTAAATAAATCTAATATAAGTACAGTAGATTTTGATTTCGTGAATTTATCACTAAACAAGTAGATTATAGTTTGTTAAATGTGAATACAATATTGAATGAATATTTTCACACTGGAATAGAAAATATATAGTAGGACCTGAAATAAAATTTAAGAATTATCACTTTTGTTTTATAAAATATCTATTTTTAGACTTAATTGCACCATTATTAAAAGTTTAGTATTAAAAATTTAGTGTTGTTAAGTTCTAATGATTGCTTTAAATTTGAAACTTTGTTTGATAATATTGCTTTAAAATAATGACAATATAAATAAATATTTGTGCAATTGAGTATTAGTATTTAAATGCAGTAGAAGCTCCTTATTCACAGAGGATATGTTCCTTAAATAGGCATATTATATAGCGGCAGCAAATACAGGATGTCATTTAGTAAATAATTACAGGGGATATGTTCAGAGGTTCTAATATAAAAGCAATATCTATGTTAAAAGACAGAAATGAGGTAAGATCATTGAGGAATCAATCTTTATTGTCAGCTTTAAAAAAGGGTTTGTAAAAGATTTTATTCATTATCCTTTTTTGCAGTTTTTAAACTGTTAAAATTCAAATTCATAACAAAGTAGTTAATAAATACTGCAATGAAGCAAAAATTACAAGACATTATAAAAGTCACATGAACACATGCTCAAAGTATACAAAAGATGAAGATGCATTAATACATGACACTGAATTCCTTCATGCGATTACATCTGCAAATAATCAGATTTCAGCCACAAGTACAGAAATTGGGTTAAATTTTTTTCATCTGAGAATAAGGAGCTTCTACTCTATAGTGCATTTTATTACCAATCATGCCAGTCATCACGCAGCCGATACGACTGGTTAGGCGGAATAGATGTGTGACGGACGCAGGGTCCAGCAGGCGGTCGGGCACCTTGCGCTGAGCTGCGACCACTGCAGTGTCTGTGCCTCGGAGTGCCACCGACGTCAAACCACCCTGATTGATCGCTTTCAAGGCGTATTCTAAAAAGATATTGTGATGTGAAATAAAATTATGTACAACGAGCTCCAGAGGCTGAGGTTGGACAATGACTTACAACTTTTGGATAACCTCTAATAATAAATTATATTTGTGTAAGTATTCTATAAATACTGTTAATTAATTTCAATTACTATTGTGTAAAAGAAATAAATTTTATTATACAGTAAATAAAGAAAAGGGTGCGATTTTGAGTAGTAAACATTGTTGTGTACCGACTTACCAACTTGGTATAGTCTTCCCTCAGGCGAAAAGATTGTGATATGTCTATCAAATCCAGCACTGCTTTCGCGAGCCATTTTTTACTTTTTATGTCTTATAAAACGCAGAATTATGTGAAATTTATGTGGATTTTGCAGCTTTTCGCTTTACTCGAAAATCTATGACAATATGACAACTACTTTTTGTGACATTTCCAAAAACTAAATCTCATTCAGCGAGTTTGTTTTACTTTACATACAACTTGATATTTCATATGGCAACATGTGTGTAAATGCGGGAACACATTTAATGTCACATGTTATTGTTGTTGTCGTCGTGTTTTACTACATACATTAGAATGAAACGAATATATTTATGTCACAGCAAATAAATATATCTCTAACCATTTAAAATATAAGAAACCGTTAAGTTTCTGTAGTGCGCTGTGCGTCACTCACTACAAGACAAGACAAAAAAATGTTTTACCTGATAACTTTTTAACTTAAATTATCTATAATATATAAAGCTTAATCTTATTATAAACTCAAATTGGGGTAAAACTAAAATCAATACTTTGCTCTTTGAATAAATACTTACTGAGTTTTTGCGCATTTGCAACGCTGCGAAAGCGGCACATATACTATTGATTGTGTTGTTGTAGTTACGTCTAGTTTTCTACTATTTATTTTATGTTACATCCTCTGTGTCGGTTAATTATCTGTTATGCTAACGCTGGGCTGAGATTTGCGCAATATTCCCTATTTAGACTAGGCGAGTTACCGAGTGAAATCTATGGTCAGTTCTGGTCCCGTTAGGAGTATTTATTATTCTATGACTCTGGTTTACTTCATTTTTTTTCTTTTCTCTATATTGTTTTTAAAAATAGAGGTTTAGTTACGCAGTGACTATGCTACCCCCCATAAACTTACACGATTACTGTAATTTTAAAATAAAAAATATCAAGAGTCAATTTGTGCAATGAAAACAGTCCTTTGTTTGACAAAAACATCTCTTTGTCGTTTTGTGTTGTGTTGTGTCGTGCTCGTGCGTGGCAAATAATTGTTGTGCCGCACCAAAAGTAGTGTCTAGCGTCAGTAATATATCTGTTTCGTTCTTATATATGAAACAACATTCGACAGTAACAAAAACAACACGACATGATGCTTAAATGTGTTTCCGCCTTTATGTGAGTCTATCATGTTTATGGTTAGTGATGATTGACAGTTGTTTTCTATGTTTTGTTTTTTCATAGGTTTTGGTAGCTCATATCTATGGTCAGTTGTTATCTGTTGAAGGGTGGAATCGGTTGTGTGATTTTGAATTTGCGTTCGATTTATTTTAATTCGGTTTAATTTTTTTAATCATAATTTTACGGTACCTTTTATAGGAAACATATTTCAGTGACCTGATTTATTATTTATGTTTGTAATCAGTCATTGAATAAAATTTCTGTTATCAAAATGCAAGAAACCGTTACGACCAGCAACGAAAGAAAATCTTTGTTTTCTTCATTTCTCGAGGTCCTGGACGCTCGAGAAAAGCAATCTCAAGCAGAAAGGCAATTACAAGAAGAAAAATATCTCCGAAGAACCCAAAAAATTTACGATTATCATGGTAGGTAGTAAACAAGATTAACATAATTTCTAATAATTTTAAAAAAATATACTTAAGGCATTAACACAACCATGAAAGGTTTTTTTTGTCTGGTATTTATTTGATTAATTGTACAATTAAAATCTTATTGTGGTGAATTATTATGGGTATTCTATCATCGATTGTCATGAAAATTTTTGTTGAATAAAGCCTATTAATTTTCCAGTTTATTAATAAAAGGTTTATTCTACTACACTTGCCAAGTTGTAGTTCTCACTATTAAATAAAATAATGGTGATTTCAAATTTTATAGTGTAAACTTTGGGTAATATTTTCTTGAACATTTATAACTTGGAAATTATCTAAATAGTAAAAGTTTCTCTTGACTTAACCCGCAACCCTCTTAACTTAAGCAGTCTGTGGGAAATTTGATACAAACCAACATTATTGTACAATAATAATAACAAAGTTATTATTATTAATTCCAGTGATTTTTTCAATTACATTATCATCTATGTCGTCATGCCGGTAATCTTACCAGTGTTCCTTACTACCTGGTAATCTTACCAGGTAGTAAGGAACAAACTCCACAATGGAGATTATTAATATTCAATATTACATTAAACTTTTATTGTTGAGTTCTATTTATAAACTCATCATTCTAGATTTTCCAGCTGCAAATTCCAGTTTTTGAAATTTGGTGTTGGCAAACTTAGCTTAGTCAGTATTAAAAGTGAGAATATTTCTTTAAATATTTATGGAAATATGATCATTATTAATATGGGCCTGTGGTACAGTTTTTAAGCAACCTTCGCATTGGCCAGTCATAGGATGGGTGACCTAAACTTTACTATCTCAAGGTCCTCCATGCTTCGGAGGGCAGGTTAAGCAGTTGGGCCTGACTGCATTTGCAGTTGTCAATGCCCACCAATACACACTAGACCTGTGTGGTTGGTGATAGCCCATCCTCCCTATTCCATTTGATTCGATTCTATACATAGGGAAGCCCTGAACCAAATTTTTATTAAGTTTTCATATCTTTGTTGGAAATCATTCGATAAAGGCAACCGGTCAACACCAGAGCAGGTTGTTACTTTTTTGGCTAGTTCAACTACTATTAAAGGATATAAATATTATTAAGGTTTAATTATTTGGGTCAGTTGCCCCACCATGCAACTCGATTTGCAACAGATAAATCAAATGCTCTCAATTTTGAATATAATTAGATTGTAGTATGTGAATATTGTCCGTTATGACGTGACGGACAACAGAAAAGAGGTAGGCAGATAAAGAGATGGGAAGATGACCTACCGAAGGGATGGAGAAGAGCAGCCAGAGATAGAGGGGAATGGGCTAAGCTGGAGGAGACCTTTGACAAAGGACAACCTGGCGGTACAGATGCCGATTTCGGTGGAAAAAACTAAATTGTAACCATAATTGATATACAAAGTCAGAGAAGAATGCCTATTTTTATTTTATTTTATTTATTTTTATTTATGAGAATATTAAGAATCAAGTTATAAACGTGATTTGGATGGAATGCACTAATATGCAAATAATTCACGTTCTATAAATGTGCTTCCTTAGCAGTTAGTTATCACGTACCTTAATATCCCCCTCTTAGATTTAAGTACTATATAAGACGAATATTGTTTAGTTAAAGGTGATCTACAACCTGGAACATAGTATCATTTCTCCCGACCACGCTGACGCTATTTCAGATGTACTCCATGAGTGTGTAAGGTGGCGACTTCTACAATTAATGATATCAAAAGAGCCGCTGGTCAAACTTGTCGTCTCAAGTGAATAAAGCCGAGGATTACAGATGTCCCCGATGCATTTATGTTGTAGAGCGTCAACGGCGCGAGGCGGTGGAGCTGCGTCGTTGCCTCGACTACGTGTCGCAGCACGCGCACGTGCTCGAGTCGGTGCTGCGCGGCGGCGGCGGCGGCGGCGAGGGCGTGCCGCTGGGCGCGTCGCTGGTGCGGCAGGCGGCCGCGCTGCAGCGCTGCATGGCGCAGTGCGTCGCCAACGCTGCACGCATCAGGCATTTGCTCACTGCCACGCATCAGCCTCAGATGGACTCCTTGCTCGCTAAAATGGTAAGTGCCTACACCTACCATTTACACACGCGACACCAGCCTCGAATGGAAGAAAAGAGAGTCGTTGTTAAATAATAGTTAGATGGCTTAGTAAACGCAAATTGCCTGAGTCAAAAACGAAGCCAGGACAGCTTCTTTCTGTTATAGATACTTTACATAATACTTACAATTAATAATAATAAAATTAAAGGCCATGTATTGACTTCATTACACTATGAACTCACTTCCCATCATAATATTAAAAATACTGACTGTTGTAAAGTAAGTAAACTCTAATTCGAGTTTGTATACTGAGGCGATATCGAGCGCGTGTTAAAATATTTAATCACACTGACCTACCGCTTTCTATTTCCCCAAAAATTAAACTAATCTGTCAAGATATGTTGTATTGCATACAGAACACAAATTTGAGGCTGATTTTGAGAAAATAATACTTAATATTTAGCTGTCGTGCGAAACACATAGTTGATATGTTAACCTGCACACGTCCTCCGTCACTTCGCTTACCGCTGTCGCCGCCGCCGCCACCGCCGCGGTGATGACCGCGGATATAACGTTCGTAAAGAGACCTTTGTTATTCATGTCTTTTATCGTTGTATCCCTTAACAACGGATAACTGCAATACTCGAGATTCGATGTACCTGTTTTATAGCTTTGATTTTTGATAAGTATCTGTTCAATTTATCTAGCGAATAATATATTGTATGTACAGAAATAAGAAAGGACAAATATATGATCTATAGTTACCTTATATTTGGTTTAGTTTAGTTTTTGTTTAGCTAATCGTTTGACTAGGGTACACACTCGTCATCTGATCGGGAGGTTAAACTTTATTGCGGAACCGCCGCTGACCCCGAGCGAGCCGATTTAATTTACCTTGTCTCGTTTGTAATTGTGACGAGATTTATTAGGTCAGTTGGGTTCAAACGTGCCTGAGACGGACCTGGAAACTATAAGTAGGTACTCCTCTTGATATTAGGTCATGGTTAAAAGTGGTACAAGACTGATACTGGTCTTGATAAGATAAATAACAATAGCCGTTTGTGTTTATGTCATCAGACTCATACAATACGCCTGAGAGTTCCGAGCAGCGAAGCATATTGTGAGAACAGACCGATTTAACGGAAGGTTACCTCTTGTTCCTTGCACTGTTGTCGAATGTCGCCGCTCGAGTATCGTTTCTGTTTCGACACAATTGTTTCCAGAAACTCACTGGTGGATAGTTGCGATGTAGTTCTTTCAAAATACCACTTATCTGTGTTACCCACAGCCCACTATTTCGCAGTCGGAAGATAACAACACCTATTGTTTATACAGCACATCAAATTGAAGCAATAAAGTTCGTGACATTAACAAATTGAAGTTTTTTCCGCCATAGCACATTAAATCTGACATTTGATAAGTATTACCGAAATGTCTTCCGGATATCTGATTCAAGGGCTGGTTCGGTTATTAAGTATGTAGCTAGCTACTCGGTAATTATGTAAAAAAAACCATTTTGTCAACTGGAGACAAACTGCCGGTAATGCTGGCGGTCGTCAGGGCCGGTTTCCACTGTCGGCGAAGCGGAAAAACACTTCGACGGAGAGCTACAACTTTTTCTTATTTCCATTTTAACAGAATTTATCTTCTACCTGTGATAAACAGGTTTAACACTGATAAAGAGTCTGTCGGAGAGCGCGCAAATAATGTGGTCACAGTTTACATCTGTTTACTCTCACTAACCGCCAACTATAATAATTTACAATCACTTTCTCAGATCTACCTACCTACCTATTTTTTTAATACCAACCAGTTTCTTGTTAAAACTTAGTTTTGCCGAATAAAGATGTCGACTTTGTGTTGGTTAGTGCACCCTTAATTAAAATTGCATCTCCTGCGGCAAAACTCATAACTACCTCAAGAGATTTTCTCCATGTGGAATGATATGAAAGACACCAATTCTGGGGTAGGTTTGTAGAGTACCCATAAGGCCATCCTACTCTCTCCGGCAGCACACCGAGCCTCGCGTTATTCACCTTTTCGTTGCATATTTCACGTCGATTTGCTTCCAGATGTTTGAACGCGACCCACGTGCTACACGCGACCCTGTCGAGCCTCGTGTTTATGTATATTCTCCATGTTATATCCATTCAACTGCATAATAAAATACTCAATATTATAGCTAAAACTATCAACAGTAAGACCGTCCAGAAATTATATGTTGTAACCAAATATTTTACCTTAACCTGACCGGAAATCGAACAAATACCGAATCTATTCAATTCGACAGCCATATTGTTATGCGTATATTCAGTTAATCATATCGTGCAAAGCTCTCTATGAGCAGACTGTCCTCTTGTATTTTCGACCTTTCCAAAGTGTTGTTTAGTAACATAAGTTGTGGCACTGACTGACGGTCTGCCGACCCTGATTACTGCAAGTAGGTGTATGAGGTGAGACAGCGCGGTCGCTGTCTGTCGTCGCGTCCGCGTCCCGCCCTCTGAACAACCCGGTCAACTTGTACACAGATTGGACTCGCTAATTTCATGATCTGTCCATTCGGCACCGTGAACACTATGCTAAATCGTCAGAACTCTCTTTATTATTATAATGCGTCCTCATTTTCCAATAAAATATTAACTCGGCATACCAGTCCCAAAATTGGTGTTGTCAGTAAAGAATTAATTATGTTTCACAAAAAAGTGCAGTTATTATTGAAACATTGTTATTAAAGTAAGTAGTTTCATAATTATATTGAAGTCCGTTGCCCTTTACACGCTTCCGTGTACTTAAATACTATAACGACATAATCCTATTTAAATTTGACATCGTACCTTACTTACAATATCAAGTTATCAGTGCGAAGTTTAAACCAAAAACATACTAAATCTAATAACTTTGGTTGTTTCTGCGTACATTATGTATTATACGTCCTGGGTAGCTCAGTGGTTAGAACAGTCGTCCGGATTGCGAATTGTTCATATATTATAATTATAAGAACGTTTTGAAATTTTCGTTCGACTAGAAATAGAATACGGCCTCAGGTGTCGTGTTAATTCGTACGATTAGTAATTATATCTACTGTTATTCAATCGCTAAGTGCAACAACATTTCACGCACGGTGTTGTATAGAGTTGCGGTGACCCATGCGTGAGGAACGACGCGCGGCGCCGTCGCCCCCGGACGCGATACTCGAACTCGTACTAACATAATTATAGGTGACCGCTTTGACAGGACTAACATTAAAAACATTATTCATCAAGCACTTTCAACAGCGATACGCTCTGGCTATGTGGGTGGGTGACCGTAATTTAAGATTTCTAGCTCAATAGCTATGTGTGTGCGTCAGTTTTGATCATCGTTAGCGATTATACTGGCACTTGATGCAGTTATCCTCAATAATCTTGGTGGTTTTTGCGTGCGAGGCGTTAATGAGAGGTGTCCCGAGCGATGAAATCACACGCGCCGCCAATTATCCCACATCATCCAATTGAGAGGGCGACCTTAATGGCTCAATGGCCAGGACGTACCGTTTTCCGACTTCTTTCACACTGGTTCGTGCCAATTTAAGGATTAACACAAAGAGCTTTTCAGTTCACCAAGGTTCTGTGATATTTTCAAAATAAAATTTTAAAAGATATGCTTTTACGCCCCCGCTTCGGCTTGGGCCTTTGATAGTTGGCAAAAGAAGCTTTTAGAGACGCACATTCACAAATAGCAAGTGACGGAGTGCGGCGGCAGATATCCATCGAAGTCCGTTTCGCAAGGCCACTTATAAAGTTTGACGTTACAAAAAGTCTTATGATCCCATCTATTAGCAGTGATCAATCCAAAAATAAATGCAGATATCGAGTTGTTTAGTGAACACTTAGATAGTAGTAAACATTTATCTCCGGTTGCTCTTCAGTATACGTGTAGCATTAGGTACCTACAATATTTACGTGTTACTGCACTTACATGACGATGGATTTATTTTTTGTAAATAAATGTTATGTAATAACAGAGTGTATTATAGTTGTGAGACATGGAAGCTCGCATAAAACGGAATATAATGGCAACGAAACGGTCTCTTGTCGTGTTCATGAAAGCGTCGTCCATTATGTCTCTAAAAGCTATTTCAGACTGAATAGCTCATATTTTAATTTTATTGCGTGTGCTAACTCACCACAATAAGAGCAAAGCTGTATATTAAAATTAGAAATGGATGGGGCGTCGCGCCGGGGTGTCTGAGCGAGTCGCGGGTATTCACTTAGCTTCTTATTGCGAGTGTGGAAATACAATAGTTATAGCGCATGGCGTATAATAGAGCGGCAGAACTCGTCGCTCGTACAGCGGACGAGTGTCGCGTGTCGCGTGCGCGCGCGCAACCACGAGTCGACGACCCGCTTCCGTGCTTACAGGGATGTCTGCTACACTTGGATATTTTGTAATCGATTATTATCGATTTCTTGTCCTACTCCAGATATTATTATCCGTATTATGAAAGCTAGGATTATTGATAACAAATATAGACAAAACCATGAATTAATGAAACTGTAATATTCATTAAGTGCTACTTTTTATAATTCAATTTGTGCACGTTAATACTAATCTATCTTATCACAGAAAAATAGAAAGAGGTGGTTACTGTCTATTTATATGTATGTTCGCTGATTTCTCCGCCAATAGGGATTACTTTGCCATAATTTGCAAAGTAATATTAATTTAATCGCATCACTAATAATTATGTTTTCTTTTTGTACTTGGCATTGCAGAATTTTATATTACGCTCTATGCAATCATTGTGGCAAAACCATTCATATTAGACTTTGTTGAAATGTAAACAAATTGGTACATTTACAACCCTAGTTCACCACTTTCACGGCATTTTGTCGTTATTCTCCAAAGGATCATTAAAACTGCCGAGTGCGAAACAAGATTGCATTCGCTGCGTGTATTCAACGCACTCGTATGTAGTTCTGTGGTCTCCCACGCGATCATCGAAGGATTACTATCCTATCACCAACTATCCTATTAGC